GAGAGAACTATTAGAGATTGTGAAGAAGAATTTTGATCTTCGCCCTGGGGTCATTGTCAGGTAAAGATGGTAAAGCCTATTGCTAGTGAGAAGTAGAGGGTGTGTGTATATATACTAAAATCCAAGGAGGTAAAGGTAGACTCCTCAAATGGGGAAGTACTTCCTAGAAGATGCTGTTTTAAATTGTTTTCAGAGGAGAGTTAGATGAGAAATACAAAATTGTATTGCTCTGTACCTTAAACTACCCTAGAAAGTTTACTATATTCAATATTGGGCTTTGTGAACAACACTTTTAGGTTTTCACATTAAGAAATTAACAGATAAGTGATTCGAATGTTCAAGGTTGTTACAAAGAAAATAACCATAGTCGGCAATGTGACCTTGGTAAGTATTCCATGAACTCAAAGTAATGACAAGTTTTCATATTTGTTAAGCCAGGGCCGGAAAACAAGAACTATAGTTACTTATAAGGACTGTGCAAGGAGTCTGGACACCAGGGAAGTAACATACTTTTGCCATGAACTTTTTTCCTAGCATACCTCAGAGAGAACTGAACTCATTTGCCAGAGTTCTTGAAAATTGAGTCTTGCTGTTTGTTTTGCTTCATTTTAATTAAATGCTTCATATTAAGTTACGGACTTATATATTCCAGGGATCTGGATCTGAAGAAGCCAATTTATCAGAGGACTGCAGCCTATGGCCACTTTGGTAGGGACAGCTTCCCATGGGAAGTGCCCAAAAAACTTAAATATTGAAAGTGTTAGCCTTTTTTCCCCAGACTTGTTGGCGTAGGTTACAGAGAAGCCTTCAAGCTCTGAGGGAAAGGGCCTTTATTCCTAAATTTTCCTGTCCTCTTTCAGCTCCTGATCAGTTGCAGTCACTCTAGTTAATGACATGAATTTTAGCTTTTGTGGGGGACTGTAAGTTGAGCTTGCTTATTCTGTCCCTAGGTGTTTTGTTCACCATTATAATGAATTTAGTGAGCATAGGTGAACCATGTAACTGCCTAGAAACAAACACCACTTGTAGTAAATAATGCTTCGAAATTTGTGCCCTATCACCCAGTTGCCCAACCCTCCAAAGTCTATTGCATTTACTTTCCCACCAAACACTGAAAATGTCCTTGTGATGTGCACGTAAAGTACTTGTTAGTTCCATTATAGCCTGTCTGGCAATGCCATAGCCCTGTCAGCATGAATTTGTAATGTCTTGAGCTCTTATGAATGTGAAGCCCTTCCCCTTATCCTCCCTGTAATCTGATCCATTTCTAATTATGTAGCTCTTTGTCAGGGAGTGTTCCCTATCCAGTCAATCTTGCATGTAACGCAAGTTCCAGTTGGAGCTCTAGCCTGACCAAAAAAAAAAGGCAGTTACCATCTCCCTGGTGCTTATGCTCTTAATTGCCACCTCTTTAACAGCACCAAATCAAAATCTCTCCACGTTTAGCTGTCTTTTGGAGGACGTACGTAATAAGGTTTTTATTTAGTAAACCAACCCTATGCATGGTTTCAGCACTAGCCAAACCTTACCAACTCCTAGTCTAGAAAAACAGGCACTTGGCACCCTTGTGATGTCATACAGAGAAGTCACAGGGCAGTACCTGAGGGTCTGTAGGTTGCACACTTTGGTACCAGATAACTTTTTTTTTCTTTATAAGAAAGACTGAGTACTCCACACTGCACAATAACTCCTCCCAGGGTTTTTAACTTTGTTTTATTTTCAAAACCAGGTCCAATGAGCTTTCTGAACAGCTGGTGTAGCTACAGAGAAACCAGCTTCCTTCAGAGAGCAGTGCTTTTGGCGGGGAGGAGGAAATCCCTTCATACTTGAACATTTTCTAATGCTTATTTATTGTATTCTGTGGTATGGCGTAAGTACAGAGAAGCCATCACCTCAGATGGCAGCTTTTTAAAAAAAATTTTTTTTTCCTCAACACCATGATTCCTTTAACAACATGTGTCCAGCATTCCCAGGTAGGCCAAGGTGTCCTACAGAAAAACCTTGGGTTAGACCTACAGGGGGTCTGGCTGGTGGTGTTAACAGAAGGGAGGGCAGAGCTGGTGCAGCTGGCCATGGAGAAAGCTGACTTGGCTGGTGTGGTACAGAGAAGCCAGCTTGTTTACATGCTTATTCCATGACTGCTTGCCCTAAGCAGAAAGTGCCTTTCAGGATCTATTTTTGGAGGTTTATTACGTATGTCTGGTTCTCAATTCCAACAGTTTAATGAAGATCTAAATAAAAATGCTAGGTTCTACCCTAACTGTGTTCATTATTTTTTTTAAGTGCTGTGGTTGTATGACTTTGAATATTATAGCCAGCAATTTCAGAAAAATTTTCTCAATCCTCTTATCTCCTTATGGGTTTGCATTATAGACTTAAGGCTACCCCTACATGAAGAATAGTCTTTTTTTGTTGGTCATAGGATTTGAACTCCCGGGCCTGGGCACTGTCCCTCAGCTCTTCAGCTCAATGCAAGCACTCTAGCACTTGAGCTACAGCGCCACTTCCAGTTTTCTGGTGGCTTTATTGGAAATAAGATTGTCATGGTCTTAACTGCCAGGGCTGGCTTTGAACAGTGATCCTTAGATCTCAGCCTCCTGAGTAGCTAGGATTATAGACGTAAGCCACTGGCATCTAGCTAGAATAGATAGGCTTTCTTTTTAAAAAAAGCAAATTTAGAGGGGCTGGGGAGGTGGCTCAGTGGTAGAGTGCTTGCCTTGCATGCATGAGACCCTGGGTTGGATTCTTTAGTACCACATAAGCAGAAAAGGCCAGAAATGGTGCTGTGGCTCAAGTGGTAGAGCACTAGCCTTGAGCTTAAGAACTGAGGGACAACGCCCAGGCCCAAAGTTTAGGCCCCATGACCTGCCCTCCCCCCCAAAAAAAAAAATTTAGACATAATATCCTATACTCCAAAACACCATGGATTTTTTGGAATTAAAGCTGATTGAGTTGGACTAAAAATGTAAGTGCACTATAGTAATACAGCAAATGAAACTGAAGGTGTGTGGTACCATTTCTATGTTACATATAATCTGAAAAGTTGTTTTTATTACATAAAGACAATTTCAAAAGGAATTAAAACATGAAAATGACACTTTATGACAATTTATATAGAAATAAACTACATTGGCCTTGACCTAGGAACTAAAGAAAGAACTGAAGTCATTTGGCATGTTTCTGGCAGTATGATGCCAAGTGGTATCAGGTAGCTCAACTTTTTGTGACTGTCTTGAAGATTGAACTCAGGACCTTGTGATTTTTTTTCTTTTTTCTTTTTTTTTTGCTCAAGGTTAGCACTCATCACTAAGCTGCTACTCCACTTCCAGCTTTTTGATGGTTAACTGAAGATAATAGCCTTACAAACTTGCCAAGGCTAGTTTCAAATCTTTGTCCTCAGACTGTAGTCTCCTGAATAGCCAGGATTGCAGGCATGTTATCGGTGCCTTTGTTAACCTGCCTAATGTTAGTTCTATGGAGGGTTACAAAAGGTTTTGAAAATTTTGTAATGAAAAGTTTGAAGGGATCTACAAATTAATGGGTAGCATATGCTTGTTGATGCAGGAGAATGTCAATCTGGGCTCCACAGAATAACCATGTTGGCCAAGCAATGGTAATAAGGATTGGGTGAATGCATCTTAAATTTAAGATGAGGTTAGGCCTACTGTTTGCTAGTCTAGACCCCCTTTTCTTGGGAAAAGTTGGTGTGTAGGTGGAAGGTGGTTAGTATACTAACAAAGGAAAAGTCACGCACTCAGTGCTGCATTCCAAACCCTAGTATAAAGAAAGGTGCCGTGGGGCACCAGGTGGCTCAGGCCCGTAATCTTACTTGGGATGAAGCCAACCTGGGCAGACAAACCTAAAGACCCAACCTCCAAATAAGCAAACAGCCTTAAGTAGGGATGTATGTGGCCATGAGTGAAAAAAAATGTGAGGGTGCAAGGCCCTGAGTCAAACCTTAGTATCCAGCATGAGTTCCCAAATGGAAGATGTGCTTCTGTTAGCTTGGAAGACTAAGGTGTACGCTTTTACCATAAAGCAGAAAGGCTTCAAAACCCATGTAATTCAGGGTACCCTATGTGGCATGGCCATCAATAGTCCACACAATGCTTTGGATTAAGTTTTCATAGTCCCAGCCTGTACTAATAAACATGGTCCTGTTACGGTGTACCTCTGACTAGATCCCAGTATGAATGAAAACTAAAAGGATCCAAGTGGTAAAGATGGAAAAAGTATATATGGAAGGTTGATTCAGTGTTAGGTAAATGGAGCTAGGAACTGGTGGGTTACACCTACAATCCATGCTACTAAAGAGACTAAGGTCTGAGGATTGTGGTTCTGAGCCCAGGCAGAAAAGTCCTCTAATCTCCATTTAACCAGCACAAAATGCTGGTTACAAAATGCTGATCACAAAAGCCAAGGCCTCAGTACCAGTATATAAAAAGAAAATGCAAGATAAAAAGTCAAGGTTGCTGTCACAGACATGGCTTGGTCAAAATACAGATCTAGGGGCTAGGAAGGTGGCTCAGCAGTAGAGTGCTTGCTTTGCATGCATGAGGCCCTGGGTTCGATTCCTCAGCACTACATAAAAGGCCGGAAGTAGCACTGTGGCTCAAGAGTGCTAGCCTTGAGCTGAAGAGCTCAGGGACGATGCCCAGGCCTAGAGTTCAAGCCCCACAACCAAGCAAAAACAACCCAATATACTGATCTATCCAATCACCTAGATTTCTCTGTATTAAGATAACATTACCTTAGAGCTGGGAATGTGGCTTAGTGGTAGAGTGCTTAATGAAGCCTTGGGTTTGATTCTTCAGTACCACATAAACAGAAAACCAAAAGTGGCACTGTGGCTTTAGTGGTAGAGTGCTAGCTTTGAGCAAAAGAAGCTCAGTGACAGTGCCTAGGTCGAGTTCAAGACCTGACTAGCAAAAAAACAAAACAAAACATATATATATATATATATATATATATATATATATATATATATATATATATATATATATAATCTTTGGTTTCAGTTATCTGAAAATTACAAGCAGTAGGGTAAGCTAAACAGACTTAAAGGTTCAAGCCATTAAGCCCAGCTGGATTGTCTGGGTACATTATTTTACCCATTTAGTCTGTTCCTCAGCAGTGCAATGGGGCTAATGTTACTGAGGATTTATTTCTTAGCCTTTTTATTTATTTATTTTTGGTCAGTTATAGGGCTTGAACTCAGCCTGAGTGTTGTCCCTGAGCTCTTCAGCTCAAGGCCACCGCTCTACCACCAGCAATAGCACCACTTACGGTTTTCTGGTGGTTAATTGGAGATGAGTCTCAGGGACTTTCTGGCCTGGGCTGGCTTTGAATCACAATCCTCCTACCTCAACCTCCTGAGTAGCTAAGATTACAGGCATGAGCCACCAGCACCCACTCCTTTCTTTTAATTCTAAGAGGACATTCCACATTGCTTTTAACTTCATGGCCCCTTAGTCCTGGATTTTAAAATCTTTAGCCAGGCTCTCTGTAATCCCAACTACTCAGGAGGAACCAGAGATCAAGTGAACTGGTACACCCCAGCCCAGGCAAAAAAATTACACTTCATCTCAATAAAAGCTGGGCAATGGTGGCACGTGCCTGTAACCTAGCAACTTTATATTCAAGCTGGCTTGGATATAAACAAACATGAGAACCTATCAGAAAAATAAAGCAAAAATGGTTGGGGTTGAGGCTCAAATGGTAGAGTGCCTGACTGCCTAGCAAGCTTAAGGCCCGGAATTTAAAACCTAGTACAACCCCTCCTCCCCACCAAAAAAAAAAAAAAAAATTGCTTTATTTCCTTAGCTCTTACAAGCTATCAAAGAGCTTTGAAGGAAAAAAAGCATTAAAAATAACTCTCAAAATACATGTCCATTGCACAAATAATAGGCCTGTGGCTGGCTGTTTCTACATCTGCACTAAATATCTGGGCCCCTTTATAAATCTGGGTGGTTATGTTCAGGATCTGGCTCAGGAATATCAAGATTTGAATAATCTCCACTTGAAGGACTTGATTCTGTGACTGGCTCAAAGGGTCGCAAGTTTGCATATGTCACCTCTCGGGCCAGCTGCTCTAGGGAAGGACGGCCTAGGAGCAGATTTCGAAGTGAAATTCGAGTCATCAGGAAGCTGAAAAACAAGAAAAAGTCATTTAAAAAAGTTTGGCCAGTCTAAACTTTCAACTTAGTTCTAGTAAAATCCTTAAGAGGCCAGGCACTGGTGGCTCATGCCTGTAATTCTAGCTACTCAGGAGGCTGAGATCTGAGGATCACAGTTCAAAACCAGCCCAGGCAGGAAAAGCCATGAAACTTTATCTCCAATAAACCATCAGAATACCGGAAATGGCGCTGTGGCTCAAGTGATAGAGCACTTGGCTTGAGCTGAAGAGCTGAGTGACAGTGCCCAGGCCCCAGAGTTCAAGTAGCACGACAAAAAAAAAAACAAAAAAAAAAAAACCTTGGAGGCACATGGTCCCTAGATCGCCCCCCTCCCCAGTATGAAATGTCACCCTCAGTGACCTTTCCATATCCCAGCTGGGATATGTTTGTGCAGTCTGGTAGATACGAGGGTAGGGCAGGAATAAATTAAAGGGAAGGTGAAGTAGAATAGTGGGTCGTCAGTCACCAGCCACTTACACTGAATCAGGGAGAGAAGTTCAAGGGGAAAGATCTAGAGCTAGACTGTCCTTTCCTGGGGTAGAGTATCTAGTGTTAACTTCACTAGCAAAAAGTTACCAATCTGGCAGAAATGATAAGTGCTGTGGGTGAAACTGACCTGCGTCGAAACACATACAGCTTTCGCAGCAAGAAACGCAAGAGTCTCTCATAGAAAGGGGTATTTCGCCGACGTTCAATCTCCTGGAGCCTTTGTTGGTGTCTAAGAAAGGTCTGAACCAGAGGTGTTGGCTCAGGGCCTCCTTTTATTTCCCCTTCCAACAGAGGCTGCAGCTCTGGAGGTAGAGGTCCTGTTTCTGCCCAGAAGACAGCAAAAGAATCACTGAGATAATCACTCCCTTAGAAGGCCCTTCTATCAAGTCCATTCTTCATTGGCAATATCTTCATTTGATAGACCAAGGGCTATCTCAACTTTCGTATACTCACCAGTTCCATTTTCTACTTTCTCCTTTAATTCTTGCAGATAGGCCAGGTCCTGCTCCAGTGCGACCTCTGTAGTATTGACATAGACATACATGTAGCAGGAAGGACTAGGTGATATTGTATACACCTTATGGTATTCTCCAGCAGGCAACTGAGAAAGGGGAGGAAATGGATATATTTCACTCTAGCTTTTCCCTGGCCAGCCTCCCTACTCGTTTTCCTTCCATGTTTTTTCCTCATTGTGTTTTGGAGTCTGAAGAAACTGACCTTTGAAATTTTATGTAAAATCCCCAAAGCAAGGGGTGTGTGTTTGTGTATTCAACCTCTGAGCTACATCCCTAACTGAAGCCCTTTTCCTTGTCTGTTTTTGTGGTATACCACTCCACCCAGCAGAAATTACTTTTTGAAATTCCACGGTATTGGTCTATAATATGATCCCTACTCATATAAACTTTTTACCACTGGTGGAGTTCTTTGGGTTTGTTTGTTTTGTTTTTTGTTTTTGTCAGTAATAGGGCTTGAGAATTCTGGGCCTGGGCATTGTCCCTCAGCTCTTCAGCTCAAGGCGAAAACTCTACCACTTGAGCGCCACTTCCAGTTTTCTGGTGGTTTATTGGAAATAAGAGTCTCATGGACTTTCCTGTCCAGGCTGGCTTTGAATCGTGATCCTCAGATCTCAGCCTCCTCAGTAGCTAGGATTACAGGTGTGAGCCACCGGCACCTGGCTTTTTTTCTTCTGATTGTTACTAGGGCTTGCACTCAGGGTCTCATGCTCTTGGCTTTTTTCACTCAAGGCTGATACTCTACCACCTTAGTCACATCTCTACTGCAGCTTTTTTTTGTTGGTGATTATATAATAAGGCTAGAACTCAGGGCATGGGTGCTTGTCCTTGAGCTTTGGCATTCAAGACTATAGTGTTCTATGAACACTTTGAGCCACAGAGCCACTTCCAGTTTTCTGGTGGCTAATTAAAGAGTTTCATGGCTAGGCACCGGTGGCTCACACCCGTAATCCTAGCTACTGAGGAGGCTGAGATCTGAGAATCACAGTTCAAAGCCAGCCCAGGCAGGAAAGTCCGTGAGACTCTTCATCTCCAATAAACCACTAGAAAACCGGAAGTGGCACTGTGGCTCAAGAGGTAGAGCGCTCACTTTGAGCTGAACTTTAAGCAGGGACAGCGCCCAAGCCCAGAGTTCAAGCCCCACAACCGAGCAAAAAAAAAGTTTCATGGACTGTTTTGCTCAAACTGGCTTCAAAGCATGATCCTCCTATCTCAGCCTCCTGAGAAATAACAGTGAAATACCTGCATTTTTTCTCCCTCATGAAGAGTCTGATTCTTCTGTTCTGCCACCAATTCCACAGTTACCTCCCCCTGCAGCAGCTGGATGCTAGTGTTGCCAAGATCTTCACTCACAAAATTCTCCAAGTGCAGCCCTGCCGGGGACCATAGAAATGAACATCCCATCCCACTGTTGAGTAAACTCACTCCCAGCCAGAAGAGATACATCATACCTTCAACACCATCACCTCTGAAACCCACCCACCTCTGGAACCACTCCATCTTATGCAATGTTGCTAGCCAACGAAGCCAAGGAAAGAGCACAGTCTCTCCTCATTTTGCTCCATACCAGGGAAATCTGCAATGAAGACTACTTCGGTGTGGTTGTCCAGGCTGCTCTTAATTTCCTGTAACTTGGTTCTCCAGGGAGACAGGTCCATCAAGAGTGGTTGCACCCAAGGCGTGCGCTGAAAGGGGGACCAGAAGGCCTGCACAATGTCCACACGAGGGTCAAAAAGCCTTAGGGAAGAAAATCATGTTCCAAGGTGGCCATGGCCACCCAACCCACCAGAACTGGTTTTGTTCCTTTTATCATTGTACCCATGAAGGGGAAACAGGATTTCCAAACAGAAGAAACGATCTGGTGTCAGCTGGTTATTGCAAGTCCATGGCAGAGAGAAGGGGAAAGAGATCCTGGAGCACTAGAAAGAATGGGGGTTAGTGGCCACCTGGAGAGAAGGCATTGTGTTAACTGTTGAAAAGCACAAGTCAGTTTGCTTTTCTCCAGGATGATAGTGCCCCCTGCTGGAAGTGACCAGCAATGCCTATGACCATAACAACCCCAACATGCAAGACAACACAGGGAACAGAGCCATTCATCTGGGTAAAGAGAGGCTGTGCTTCATTTTTTTTCCCCTTCTCTGCTACCCTTGCCCACCTCTGCTGGAAGCGGTCATTGATGGAGACCCAAATATCAAAGTAGATCTGGGGCTCAGTGACATTGTACTTGGGAAGCAGGAGGCTCAGGCAAGTGGCATATTGCTTCAGCATGTCTGCGTGATCCTTCCATCGCCGGCTCTGTGTAAATACCTGTCCCAAACCCCTCCATTAGTCCCACTTCAACATTATCAACCTCCCAGACAGAGCATGCACTGCCAATGGCACAAACAGATCTCCATCTGCTGTTTATTTTGGCCCCCCCCCAAAAAAAAAAGGAACTTATCTTTGGGAATGAATTTTTCATTACTAGGTTACTGATACCTACCTTTCCTATATCAAAGTTGTCTAAACAAGTGGCAATCATTGTCCAATCTCTCCCCACATTTAAAAAAAAAGGGGGGGTAGGAATGTGGTTTAGTGGTAGAGTGTTTGCCTAGCATGCACAAAGCTCTGGGTTTGATTCCTCAGTGCCACATAAACAGAAAAAAAGCCAGAAGTGGCGGTGTGGCTCAAGCGGTACAGTGCTAGCTTTGAGCAAAAGAAGCTCAGAGACAGTGCCCAGGCCTTGAGTTCAAGTCCCAGGACTGGCACACACAAAAAAAGTTCATTCTGGGGGCTGGGAAGGTGGCTCAGTGGTAGAGCACTTGCCTTGCATGTCTGAGGCCCTGAGTTCGATTCCTCAGCACCACATAAGCAAAAAGAAAAAAGCCGGAAGTGGAGCTGTGGCTAAAGTGGTAGAGCGCTAGCCTTAAGCTGAAGAGCTGAGGGACAGCGCCCAGGCCCAGAGTTCAGGCCCCATGACTAGACCCCCCCAGAAAAAAAAAGTTCATTCTGACTTTTGAGAAAAAGCAGGGACCCATATTTGCTTACGTATATAGGATCAAATCGGCCCCAAAACTCAAAGGGGCTGCAAAGAACAGTCAGCTGTCAGCATCAGACATCTCACCCCAGGGTTAAGGTAGCCCTGCTCGCCAGTAAGGCCATCACGGTAGGTGATCTTCACATGCTGGTGGGAGCGGGAATGTACCATCATGTCCCAGGAATAGCCATACAGCCCGTTTGTCCAGTTGTTATAACCCTGGGAAGGCAAAGCAGAGGGGAAGTCAGCTCAGCTGAGGTCCAGCCCCTTTCCTTCTCAACTACTGTCACCTCCACTGCTTTCCAAGCGCACCCTCTGCTATATACCTGGAGGTCTTACAAACCTGGGTAAGGAAATGGGAATAGGGCAGGAACAGCTGCTCAAGAAGGTAGAGCAGGGTAAAGGCTGTCCCCAGCTGATGGCGCAGTCCTGGCTTCTGGCCACTTTTGGTCCGGCTCCTCTTATATACACAAGAAGCACTGGGTTGAGGGGCAGCCTTGAGGGGCAACAGTTCCTGTAGGCTTTTCGGGCAGTGGGATATCAGCTTCCGAGGCCACTCAGGGGAGCAGAAGAGAGGACTGCTGACCAGCATGACATAGGGGAACATACCTAAGAAAGCAAGAAGGAAATACTTTAGGACTCTGTTTGGACTCCCTGAACCACCTTCCCTTAAGAAGCATCTCCCAGATAGTCCACTTAAAAATAGTTCTTAGCTGGTGGCTCATACCTGTAATCCTAGCTACTCAGGAGGCTAAGATCTAAGAATCACAGTTCAAGATCAGTCTGGGCAGGAAAGTTCATGAGACTCTCACCTCCAATAAACTACTCAGAAAAGACCAGAAGTGGCACTGTGACTAAAGTGGTAGAGTGCTAGCCTTAAGCAGAAGCTCAGGAACAGCTCCCAGGTCCTAAATTCAAGCTCCAAGTTCAAATGGATTGATGAGGCAGCAGTTTCCATGTACCTTTTGCTGCCTAGCATAGAGATGATATTAAGAAAAACTTGTGGGGCTGGGAAGGTGGCTCAGTGGTAGAGCGCTTGCCTTGCATGCCTGAGGCCCTGGGTTCGATTCTTCAGCACCACATAAGCAAAAAGAAAAAAGCCAGAAGTGGCGCTGTGGCTCAAGTGGTAGAGCACTAGCCTTGAGCTGAAGAGCTGAGGGACAGTGCCCAGGCCCAGAGTTCAGGCTCACGACTGGACCCCCCCAAAAAAAAAAAGAAAGAAAGAAAAGCTTGACTCAAATGAAATGAAGTAATCAAAATGTTTACTTCAAGAAACTGTCAGTGTCTTTGGGGGATTGGACAATGGAGTCATATCTTTACCGAATTTAGGCCTACAATAGTCATCTTATCCCCATGCTAAATTCTATAAGAACATTGTATCTTGTCATCATAAAGACACTTTTAAGAGCCAATGTAAAAATGTTTTGTATGAGCTGGGCACCTGTGGCTCATGCCTGTAATCCTAGCTACTCAAGAGGCTGAGATTTGAGGACTGTAGTTGAAAGCCAACCTGGGCAGGAAAATCTGTGACTCTTACCACCAATTAATCACAGAACAAGCTGGAAGTAGCTCTGTAGGTCCAGTGGTAGAGTGCTAACCTTAAGCAAAAGGAGCTCAGACCCAGTTCAAGCTCCAGGATTGGAGGGAAAAGAAGGTCTTAAGTATAGGACATTTATTCTTTCTCATTATGTAACATACTGAGCCCAGAAAGCCCAATCCTCTTAATCCTCCTAATTAAGTTTCTGTATTCACTATCTCCACTTGCAGACACTGCCTCTCACCAGTCCCCTTGACAAACCTGTGTGTAGGTTTCCTGCCAAGCTACAGGTACTGACCAATGCTGAAGAGTTGAGAATTCATGCAGTGGAAGTAGGATACGAAGAAGAAGCCAATAGATCTTGAGACATCAAAGAAGAGCAGGAAACCAGCTGAGAGATCAAGAAGCAATCCACACCAATGTACCACCAGCAGGCTAGTCAGTTCCTCGGACAACACCAATCTGCAGAGACAGACAAATGTCCACCTCCAGCTCACTGGGGAATCCAGCAATCCCAGCACATAACAGAACAATGTACATCTGCATCTGGTATCCTGTCCTTGAAAAGGATCACCCTACCATTGAGGTAGATAGTGCCTACATATCTAACCACCCACAAAAATACTCTACAGTGAATTTCTCAAGCCCTTTACATTTTCAGGTGTCTCCCTGCCCCAAAATACTGTATGTACTGAGCAAGAACAGATCTCCTAGGATCAAATAAATTGGGAAGTGTGTGTATTGTGGGAACCACGTTCCTCAGAAGGTATGAATGACAAGAAACTTTTAAACAGTGGATGCCTGTCTAATGTAGGGAGTAGAACATAATACAGAAAGAAAAAGCAACCAAAATAAAATGAGAGGAAGAAAGAAAATCAGAGGTAAACCTTTGCTTTAGAGTTGGTGATGGTTTTGACAGAGCAAGAACTATAGCTGTCCATCCTCAATACACTTGCTAAGGAGCTCTTAGCTCTTAAGGACAAAAGCAATCCCCAATGCAAGTGCTGGGGGTACTAGTTCTGGCCCCTTCTTTATTTATCTTGCCCTTCTTGCCCATCCCTGCTGTATGCCTTAAGTCTTCAGCTAGGCTTCAATTCTTTTTTTTTTTTTGTCGGTCGTGGGGCTTGAACTCTGGGCCTGGGCGCTGTCCCTCAGCTCTTCAGCTCAAGGCGAGCGCTCTACCACTTGAGCTACAGCCCCACTTCTGGTTTTCTGGTGGTTTATTGGAGATAGGAGTCTCACGGTCTCTCCTGCCCGGGCTGGCTTTGAACCGCGATCCTCAGATCTCAGCCTCCTGAGTAGCTAGGATTACAGGCGTGAGCCACCAGCGCCTGGCTTTAGGCTTCAATTCTTTAATGTCACTGACTGTCTTTGGCTCTAAAGGGAGATGAGTGGACAGGGGAAGGTGTGAGGCAAACTCAGGGAGCAGCCATTACTGCGGTCCTGAAGAACACGAGTCTCTTACTCTATCCATGCCTAACAAGGCTTCAACCCTGCCTTCTACTCACTTGAAGGGACTGAAGAGCCAGTGCCGGGACAAGTGTTCCATGGAATAACCTTCAACCCAGTCTGCATCCAGCTTTTTCACACCCGCAATGAAATACACAATGAAGATCTGCAGACACAATATGCAACACAAATGTTCAAACAAAAAGGAAGGAACTATGTTTTCTACAAACAGTCAAGAATTAAGTAGGTTCTGATCTAGTCTAGGGCCCAAGGCAGAAGAGATACATGCCTCTATTCATCTCAAATATTCAGTCATCCAACACTTATTTACATTCTACCTATGCCAGGCACAACACTAAGCACCAAGGAAGAAGTCATGAAGCACAGAAGTGAATTTTTGGCAATGGGATGGCTGTCTTCAAATCCCATACCTGGCCACGCAGTACCGCATAGTTCCAAAGGGGCACATGGGCATTCCTCTTACGGGAATTCAGCAGGCCATCCACAGACCTATACCAAAAGGGGTAAAACACAGAGGAGGGTTTCTTAGTCTAGTTACATATCTACTTTTCCTTTTAATTATGGCAAATCTACCTCAGTAATCTCTTGTGTCCTCTCTGATCCTCTGGGCTACTATGAAACTTTTGGAAATATAAGAACAAATTCTAATAGTAATCAAGTCATAAAAAGAAATATTCCTAATATAAATGTTCCTAACCTAAAATGGACTTTTATGTTTCATGAGGTTTTTTGTTTTTGTCAGCCATAGGACTTGAACTCAGGGCCTAGGCACTGCCCCTGAGCTCTTTTGCTCAAGACAAGTGCTTTACCACTTTGAGTCACAGCTCCACTTTTGGTTTACTGTGGGTTAGTTGAAGATAAGTCTCATGGTCTTTCCTGCCTGAGCTAGCTTTGAACAGCACTCCTCAGATCTCAGCTTCCTGAATAGCTAGGATTACAGGTTGAGCCACCAGTGCCTGGCAAGGTTATACCTTAGTAAACCAATCGTAAGTTGAAAATGTCTCTAATATACATAACCTGCTAAATATCCTAGTTTGGCAGGCCACATTAAATGTACTCAGAGCACTTGCATTAGTCTACTGATGGGTAAGATGATGTAACACAAAGCTTATTTTATCATGTAATTTATTGATTATATCAAGTGAATAACGTAACAGCTGTACAGGTATGCTCTTACACCATCATGAAATTATGTTTAACCATATCAGAGACTATTAAATTATAACAAAAGGTTCAATGTGTATTATTAGCTCACAATTGAGTTTGTCCTAGTGAAGTCAACTCAGGAACCAAAGGATCAAAGTCTAGAATATGCCTAGAGAATAAATTTGGGGAATTTCTGAAAAGCTAAAGATTTAAGTAAATATACATACATGTTCATATACATGTTTAGTGTATTATCATTTATTCTTTTGTTTTGTTTTTTGAGATAGGCTTTTGCTAGGTAGCCCAGGCTGGCTTCAAATTCTCAATCCTCCTGTTTCTACCTCTAGGGTAAGATTACAGGCACTGAGCCACCATTCCTAGCTATACAATGTATTGACATTTTTTTTTTTTGCTGGTAATAAGGCTTGAACTTAGGACCTAACACTCTTGCTTACATTGTTTCACTCAAGGCTGGCACTCTACCACTTGAACCACACTTCCACTTTCAGCTTCTCTGTTAGTTAATTGGGAGAAAAAAATCTTAGGATTTGTCTGCTCTAGCTGGCTTTTAACTGAGATCCTTAGACTTCAACCTCCTGGTAACAAGGATTACAGGCATAAGCTACCAGCTGCCAGCAACCAGCTCAGTGAATTATGTTAAAAATCCTAGGGTGGAACTTAGACTTAGTTATATAGTACTTGCCCTAGCCATTTGCAAAGCCCTCATGTTTTTTTCTTTGCTGGTCGGGGCTTGAATTCTGGGCCTGGATGCTGTCCATAAGCCTCTTTGTGCTCAAGGCTAGTGCTCTACCACTTGAGCCACAGCACCACTTCTGGCTTTTTCTGAGTAGTTTATTGGAGATGAGTCTCACAGACTTTTCTGCCCAGGATAGCTTTGAACTGTGATACTCAGATCTCAGCCTCCTGAGTATCTAGGATTACTGGTGTGAGCCACTGGTGCCCAGCTAAAGACCTCAATTTGATCCTCAACTTCACAAAAAAAAAAAAAAAAAATTAAGAAATTAGAAAAATTCAAATAATTCCACAGCAGAATGTACAACATTAGCTAATACTTATAGATCTGATGCTAGTGTCTAGTTCAAGTGTTATCTGCCAAGTTACTAACACCTGATGTGATGTATTGTGGGGGGAGGGAGGGAAGCAAAACATGTTTTCAAGAAATTGGGAAAGGGGAACATAGACTTTAAGTCAAGAACACTAGATTCACTGGAAGTCAATGAGACTCATCTCCAATTAGCTACAAAAAGATAGAAGTGCAGCTGTGGCTTAAGTGGTAGAGCACAAAAGCTCAGGGACAGTGCTCAGGCCCAGAGTTCAAGCCCCTGGACTGGCAAGCGCGCGCGCGCACACGCACACACACGCACACACACGCGCACACACACACACACACACACACACACACACACACACACACACACTGGACTTTTTTTTTTTTTTGGGGGGGGGGGTCCGGTCGTGGGGCCTGAACTCTGGGCCTGGGCGCTGTCCCTCAGCTCTTCAGCTCAAGGCTAGTGCTCTACCACTTGAGCCACAGCACCACTTCCGGCTTTTTTCTTTTTGCTTATGTGGTGCTAGGACTCGAACCCAGGGCCTCATGCATGCAAGGCAAGCGCTCTACCACTGAGCCACCTTCCCAGCCTCACATTCTGGACTCTTTAAGGACATTGCACTCTCACTTATTTTTTGCCTGTTGTGACCTTAGGCACATACTTCACTTCCCTAAGACTGACATTCGTCATCTATAAAATGAGAATAGTACAATGAACTTCCTTGTTGGCTTTGTTTTTTTTTAATGTGTACATATATGTCAGTACCAGGGCTTGAACTCAAGGCTTTCCATTCTTGTTCAGCTTTCTGGCTCACTGTTGTTGCTCAACCGCTTAAGCCACATATCTTATCAAGTATTTTTGCTAATTAATTGGAGATAAGTGTTTATCAAACTTTCCTGCCTAGATTGGCTTCAAACCTTGATCCTCCAGGGTTAGCCTCCTGAGTAGCTAGAATTATAGGTGTGATCCACCAGAGCCTGGCTCTAATTGTGTGTGTGTGTGACTGTCTGCCTGTCTAAGGGCTTGGCCTCAGGCCTGGGTACTGTCTTTGAGCTTTTTGGCTCAAGGCTAGGCTACCATTTGAACCATAGCTCCAATTTCCAGGTTTTTTTGGTAGCTGATTGGAGATAAGAGTCTCATGGACTTTCCTAACTGGGCTGGCTTTGAACTATGGATCTTCAAATCTCAGTCTCTTGAGTAGCTAGGGTTACAGGTATGAGCTACCAATGCCCAGAGATAGGTAATTTTTTGTTTAAATTCAAGTCTTTAAAATGGAACTTCTGAGAGATATTTTGTCAAAACTGCCTGCTAGTAAGGTGTGGTGGTACATGCGTATGAACCTAACACTTGGGAAGTTGAGACAGGAGGATCATAAATTCAAAGTCGGCCGGACTACAGAGAGAGGTCCAGGCCAGCCTGAGCTATATAGTAACACTCCATTTCTAGACAAACAAACAAACAAGCAGTTGGAGGCCATAACCCAAGTGGTATATCACTTGCCTAGCAAGCATAAGGACTTAAGTTCAAACTCTAGTACTTCCAAATAACATAAACCTCAACTGGACATCATAAACCTCATAGCTGGACATCCTAAAGGAGATGAAAGTTAGCCAAGTGCCAGCATCTCATGCTTATAATCCTAGCTACTCAGATGGCTGATATCTGAGGATGGTGGTTCAAAGCCAGCCCAGGCAGGAAAGTCCATGAGACTCTTGCAGCCAATAAACTACTCAGAAAAAGCCAAAAGTGGTGCTGTGGTTCAATTGGTAGAACACTAGACTTGAACACAAAGAGGATAAGGGACAATACCTAAATCCTGAGTTTAAGACCCAGGACTTGGGGAGGGGGGGAGAGCGAAAAGGAATGGGGAGGGAAGGGATGGTAGGGGAAAAACAAAGGAGAGGTAACAATGCTTGGTAGGAAATGTACTCAGTACCTTACTCGTGTAACCTCTCTGTACAGTTATCTTTTTTTAAAAGCAGGTATACAGTATCTTTACAATAAAAAAATATGTATTAAAAAAAAAAACCCAGGCAGACAAAAAAAAAAGTTGAAAGTTTTACACAAGTGGGGTCTGCTGAATAGTGATATAGCTCATTATCATTAAACACTTAACATGCAAAAAGCCCTGGATTTAATCCTCCATACAAAAAACAGAATCAAAAAGTTTCAGAGCCAGTCCCAGGTGGCTCACACCTGTAATCCTAACTACTCAGAAGGCTGAGATCTGAGGATCTCAGTTCAAAGCCAGCCCCGGCAGGAAAGTATGTGAGACTCTTATCTCCAACAAACCACTCAGAAAACAGGAAGTGCTGCTGTGGCTCAAGTGGTAGAGCACTAGCCTTGAGCTGAAGAGCTGAGGGACAGCACCCAGGCCCAGAGTTCAAGCCCCACAAGTGACAAAAAAAAAAAAAGTTTTACAGAAAGGGAAATTGTATATATTCATCGATGATGCATACTGATGACTGCTAATGAATTCAGTATTTGAGATGTTGTTCCTATACCCATATTACTGACATTTCATATTTGCTTTGCTCATAACCAATGAGAAGTCCTTAAGGTCATGTGTTCTGCCACCCTACTCCAAATCCTTTGCCCACATTCCTTAAGAGGTGGTCACCTAAGCCAGAGATGGGGGAGGGTTATTTCCTCCCTATCCTGCTGAGCAGCCTTGGTCTGTCCATCTCCTCTTGATGTCATCTCCATTTCACAGTAATAGCTACTCTTGGCTCTAACTCTGCCCCTCTGGGCTCACACAGACAAAAAAAAAAAAAAAGAAAGAAATCTGCTTTCTCTCTCACATATAAGCACCCTTGGAGTATCTGAAAACAGCTATATCTGGCTTTAGTCTTTCCGTCTTCTTACTAAGAGGTTACAGGAAGTAGATAAATCAAGGCACCTAGAGAGATATGGAAAGAGTAAATGGGTAGAACCATTTTGCAATCACCCTAGCTGTCTGGCCCTTCCCCCTCCCAAATCCACTTAAGTGTGACCATGTAACTGTATTTTACAAAATATAGTTTAAAATATTCCCACAAGGACAATTTCTAGGACTCCACTGGGTTCCTATCTCTGATAAGCATCTTTACCCAGCCAGCCCTTCCCCATAAACCCCCAGATTCATACCAGTAGTGGTTTGCATCCATGAATGTCAGCTGAAAGGCCAACAAACCATACAGATAGGAATGGTTGTTCCATGATGTCTTGTCCAGGAGAAACACATACCAGTATGGCAGCAGGAATAACACACAGCTTATCCGGTAACACAGGCCCAGCATCATGCCCAGTGCCCCTGAGATTTGTGGGGAGAGGATTAAGAAGAGTCACCACAGGCCCAACTTTCCTGGGATAGGCTGTGACTGGGATTTTAAAAAGTCATTGAGAGTTTACAACAGGTAAAACCAAGTGAAAATTGAATGTTATCTTAATATTTTAAGAAAAGTTATGGGATCACAGCTCACATGACACACAGAGCAGTATGAAACTGAATCACAGGAGAAGTGAAATAGGCGCCCAAGACTTGTCATTCACCAGCACGCTTCTTATTTCTGTGTTTCTGAAAGGCCAGTCAATACTCCCATCTTTCCCACAGTTGTCCTCACCCAGAAACATGAGAGTGTAGACAAGATACATCCAGTCAAGTGGCAGGGGACGCAGAGCATCCAGCAAGGGGAAGCGGCACACATCCAGTCCATCTAGGTATTTTCGGTCTAAGGAGCTGAGTCCCCGCTCCTGGGGAATGTCCAGTACCATCAAGAATGCTGTAAAGGCAATAGGGGAGGGAACATTATGCTTCAACTGAAGAAGTTATAGAATACACTAGAACACAATTGAGCATGACTAGCTCCAAGACTACCAGACTTCTTGTCTAATTTTGGCACTGCCAGTTATTCAACAAAATCTACTGAGCTTATTGTCCCAAGGCAGTATGTTAATCACGCATCAAATAGTCCTCACAACTCAGTGAGTCAATTCCGCTTTGTGAAAAGTGGGTTAATGCCAGTTGGCTCACGCCTGTAATCCTAGCTACTCAGGAGGCTGAGATCTGAGGACCACACTTCAAAGCCAGTCTGGGCAGGAAAGTCTGAGACTCTTATCTCCACCAGAAAACTGGAGGGGACTCTGTGGCTCAAGTGGTAGTGTTCACCTTGTGCTGAAGAGCTGAAGGACAGTGCCCAAGCCCAGAGTTCGAGCCCCATGATCAAAAAAAAAAAAAAAAAAGTGAGTTATAACACTTCATAGGGTTTTAGAAACAGTTAAATGAGAGAAATGTACAAAATGCTAAGAAAATAGAGTTCTATAACTGGAAATATGGTTCAAGTGGTAAATCACTTGCTTAGCGGTCAGGCCCGGAAGTCAAATACTACACACACACACACACACACACACACACACACACACACACACACACACACACACACACACACACACACACACACACACACACACCCCTGTGGAGATGTGGTTGAGTGATAAGGCTAAGGTATAGTGCACACGCACACACACACACACACACACACACACACACACACACACACACACACACACACACACACACACACACCCCTGTGGAGATGTGGTTGAGTGATAAGGCTAAGGTATAGTGCCCAGGCTCTTGAGTTCAAGCCCCGGTATCAGCACAGAAACAAAAAACAAAGCTGTTAGGGTTCTAACATTTTATTATTTTTTATTTATTTATTTAGTCGGTCGTGGGGGCTGAACTCTAGACCTGGGTGCTGTCCCTTAGCTCTTAGCTCAAGTGGTAGAGTCCTAGCCATTTCCGGCTTTTTCTGCATATGTGGTGCTAAGGAATCGAACCCAGGGCCTCATGCATGCAAGGCAAGCATTCTACCACTGAGCCACCTTCCCAGCCCAGGGTTCTAACATTTATGACAAACACATCTCACTGAGCTATAGGAACTGCTGCAAGGGATCCTTCCCAACATTGTTTTTCCTTCTTGGCATTCCCAACAAAAAAGTGAGATTTGAATAAGGAGCTTGCTTAAGGCAGGGTTTCTCAATCTCTGGTTTAGTAATATTAACCAATCTGGTTAATTATTTGCTGGGATGGTTGCCAGTGCATCACAAGACACCAAGGAGCAGCATCCCAGGTGCCTGCACAGATGTTAGCAGTCAACTATTCCTCCTCCCCTCAAGTTATAACAACTAAAAATGTCTGTATATATTGTCTAATGTGTCCAGGGAGCAAAACTCCCTCAGTTAACAACTAATGGGCTAAGAGGATGATACACGATATATCTATAAGCCAGTACAAGGGCACATGCCTGTAACCTTTGTGTTAGGAAGCTCTAGATTAGGGAATCACAGCCAAATTGTCCCTTACCCTTGTTGTGTTTCTCTGAAGTCCTGGGCATAATTGCCTGGTAACTTCATATGACAAGTAAACTGGGTCCTTGTTCCTCTGCTTCTGATTTCATATAGCTTCAGATCCAAGCATTTCCTGGCCACCAAACCCTAACTAGAGGTGACCAAGCCAGGTATGATCCTAAACTTTACAAAGACATCTTCCATAATACCTTCAGCAATATGGACAAGGAAGCTAAGTCTACTCAGTACCCCCAAAACAGACGACTGTCATTTTCCCAAACCCAAGCCCAAGTGCTACCACCCCAAAAGGGGACTCACCGAAGAGAAAACGAAAGACAGCCAGGTTTGCTGGATCCGTTGGTCGATTAAGCAAGGTCACTAGCCTCTGCCAGCTAGATAAATCTTTCCATTCAAAGCCCAGAAGTTTTCCCATTTGGCTGCCTGGCCTGGGCCCTGAAGTCTGTCCAGGCTTGTCTTTCTGTCCTTTATCTACAACCAATGAGAAGAGACCATGTGTGAGCAGGGTTGAAGTCTGCCTCCACTCCAAATCTCAGAACTTCCAGCCTTAACAGCCCAGGGGTAATGTCACCTGGTTCTCTGATCTGACTACCAGAAACTTCCCCCTCTCAGGATCTCCACGGTCCCCAACCTCACACATGACAGAACTCCCACTCTCTAGGTCCCACTAGGTGTCTCCGGCTCCGCCCCTCTGAAACCAGCGTCCCTCTCTCTGCGCCCGCCTGGCCGCCCCCATCCTACCTGAGTCGAGGGGGGCCCGCGCGGACCGGGACACAGCCATACCACCGTGCGGCCGCAGCCAGCAGCACCACCGAAGTCCACCAGCCTAGGCTCCGCCCCCTCGACACATCAGCACCTGCGCGGCCAGCCGGAAAGCGACGACACTGTCGTGAAGTGCTGCCCAAGTCCCAAGGAGCCTCAGCTTGATCAGGAGGCGGAGCGCGAAGGAGCTTAGGGTGTGGCCGCGCAGGCGCAAAGGGACGTGGGCAGGCTTCCTCTAGAACGGTGAAGAGGCCGGCGTGCTTCGAGTAAGGGTTCTGTGCGCGAGCTGCCAGCCGCATCCTCACTCAGGCCCCTCTCAGGTCAATCAAGCTTCGAAACGTCCTGGGTCCTTCTCCGACCCTATTAAGTCTCTATCGCGTAAGGGAATCGGTGCAAAGGGCAGACTTTCCCCCGGAAAGACTGGCCGCGGACTTGAGGTTGCAGGGGGAAGATCCCTCGCTTACATCTAGAGCGCGGATCGTTTCATTCTGTCTGTCCCGTACCTAAGTTTAAAACTTCAGGGGAGCCGGGCTCCAGGGCTCACGCCTGTAATCCTAGCCACTCAGGAGGCGGAGATCTGAAGATCGGCCGTTCAAACCAGGCCAGGAGGTTAAGTCCCTGACACGCCTATCTCCAGTTACCAAAAAGCTGCTAGTGGAGCTGTGGTTCGGAAGGTAGAGCCCTAGCCTTGAGTGAAAGAGCTCAGGGACAGATCCTAGGCCCTGAGTTCAAGCCGCAGCGCGCGCGCGCACACACACACACACTCAGGCACCCTGTGCAGGGGAAATAGAATAGGATAGTGTAATTGAAGAGGGCATAAAGAGCCAGCTTAGGGAAGGTTGTCTTGAGCGCAGTTGTTAATACCTGAGACTGTCCACTGGGGTTCGCTAGCAGCATAAGAAGAGAGCATTCTAGGGCAGAAGCTCTGAAGCCTTTTGATCTCCGTTCCTCTTGCGCTGTTAGAAACAATGCTTTGATTTGACCTTTATGTTTCAAAATTTATGATAAGGAAAACCTCTCTAAAATTTTGATAGTGCTGGATATCAATGGATATCAGATTCAGAGTCTGGAACATGCTAGGCAACCTTTTTCCAACTTCAAAACTTTTTATTGAGAATTTTTTTATGTTTTGGTTTATTAAAATACAATATGATTATTATGTGTTTACATAAGTAACATTTTTGTGTTTGGGGAATGTAATCCAGTAGTAGTGCTGGCCTAGCATGGGTGAGAACACCTAGGCTGGAACTTCAGCATCATAAAACACATAAAGATTTTGTTTTGTTTAGGGAAAGAAAATATACTTCACATAAAATCATAATTTTTAAATTTAAATCTTTCATTTTTGGCTTAGTTGAAAACAGCCACATTATTATATCTGCTTCATTCAACCTGCGGTAAAATATTAACTAAAGCAGGGTGCTGGTGGCTCACCTGTAATACTAGCTACTTAGAAGGCTGAAATCTGAGGATTGTGGTTCAAAGCCAGCCCAAGCAGAAAAGATTCTTATTTCTAATTAACCACTAAAAAGCTGGACGTTGAGCTCTCTAGCCAGCCTGCAGCAAAAAAGGTAAGTGATAAAATAATGTCCCAGGTTTAAGCTCCAGTATTAATACACACACACACACACACACACACACACACACACACACACACACACGATTTTTCAAAAGGAGTTATTGTAAGAAAAGAAAAAGCAGGGGCTGGGAAGGTGGCAATGGTCAAGTGCTTGCCTCGCATGCATGAGGCTCTGGGTTCAGTTCTTTAGCACTACATAAACAGAAAAAGCCGGAAGTGGCGCTGTGGCTCTAGTGGTAGATCGATAATCTTGAGCTGAAGAGCTGAGGGACAGTGCCTAGGCCCAGAGTTCAGGCCCCACGACCAACAAAAAAAAGAAAAAGCAGAAAAGAAGAATTCAACAGTCCAATAAGTTTTCAGAGGAAAACCTGGGAGGGCAACCAAGTCAGAAAAAGTGAAGGTGGTAGAGTGCCAGTCTAGCAAATTCAAGACCCTGAGTTTAACCCCTGTACTGCCAAAACACAAACTATTGTGTGCAGGAAGTCTGTTACTCTATACTCAGCCTCCACCTGTGAAAGAAAAATGAAGTCATCAAAAGTAAAACTAATACCTAGCCAGATGCTCATACCTATAAAACCAGCTATTCAGCTGGATGCTGGTGGCTCATACCTGTAATTCTAACTATTCAGGAAGCTGAGATCTGAGGATCACAGTTCAAAGCCAGCCCAGGCAGGAAACTACTCAGAAAAAGCCAGACGTGAACCTGTGGCTCAAGTGGTAGTGCACTAGCTTTGAGGAAAAGAAGCTCAGGGGCAGAGCCCAAGCTCCAGGACTAGCAAATCAAACAAACATGAAAAAAGCAAGCAAACAAACCAAAAACCAAGCTATTCAGGAGGCTAAAGTTTGAGAATTGGGCAGTTCAAAGTTAGTCCAAACAAACAAGCCTGAGAGACTTCTCTTTTTCTTTTTTTTTTCCCCCTGTGGTCCAAGACCACGACTTGAACTCAATGCCTAGTGGCCCTTGCTCATTGGCTAGTACTAGCTCTACCAACTGAGCCACACTTCCAAACACTAAATCCAAGAGACTTTTAGCTCCAATTAACTAGCAAAAAAAAATAAGTGGAAATAAGGCTCAAGTGTAAAGCACCAGCTTTGATGCTAGGAGAAGCTAAGTAAATGCTCTAGGCCCTAGGCTTCAAGAGCCAGTACAGGCAAAAACAAACAAAAAACACACCTTTCTTGGTTGTTTTTTTCTGGAGACAGCATCACATTATCTAGCCCAGGTTGACCTCAAAGTGAGGATCCTTCTGTCTCAGCCTCCCAATTGCAAGCATGAACCACTATTTGGCCTAACCTACAACTACTGACCACTCTGCCTAGCTTAACTAAAGTGATATCAGGAAATGTGGAGCATTGTGCCCTTAAAGGTTAAACCATAGAATGTTCCAAAGGACTTGGATAAACAGTTGAAGTCATTATCAGCTAACCTTCAACATTCCTTAGCTAGGAGTACCCTAATTACTAACCATTCAAGAGGGGGTTGAAATTTTTTTATTTCTGTCCAGCCAATGACTTGCCTTCAAAAACTACTGAGGAAAGCCGGGCACTGGTGGCTCACGCCTGTAATCCTAGCTACTCAGGAGGCTGAGATCTGAGGATCGCGGTTCAAAGCCAGCCCGGGCAAGAAAGACCGTGAGACTCCTATCTCCAATAAACCACCAGAGCGATTGCCTTGAGCTGAAGAGCTGAGGGACAGCGCCCAGGCCCAGAGTTCAAGCCCCACGACCGACAAAAAAAAAAAAAAACTACTGAGGAAATCCCAATTTAAAAACAAAACAAGGGACTGGGAAGGTGGCCAGTGGTAGAGTGCTTGCCTTCATGCTTGAGGCCCTGGGCTTGATTCCTCAGCACCACATAAGCAGAAAAAGCCGGAAGCGGTGCTGTGGCTCAAGTAGTAGAAGGCTAGCCTTGAGCTGAAGAGCTGAGGGACAGTGCCCAGGCCCAGAGTTCAGGCCCCATGACTAACAACAACAACACAAAAAGACTTTAAAAAAACTTTTAAAAACTTGCCTCCCACATTGCTTTATAGTATTCTATTCAAGGGTGTTCTAGTTTAGTTGATGGGAATTGCAATTCTTTGTTTCCCAGATAAACTCTATTTCCTTTAACTTCTTTCTTTTTTCTTTCTTTCTTCTTTCTTTCTTTTTTTTGTCAGTTGAACTCTGGGCCTGGCTACTGTCCCTGACCTTTTCAGCTCAAGGCAAGCACTCTATCACTTGAGCCACAGCACCACTTCTGATTTTCTTGTGGTTGATTGGAGGTAAGAGTCTCACAGACTTTCCTGCCCAGGCTGGCTTTACACTGGGATCCTCAGATCTCAGCCTCCTGAGTAGCTAGGTTTACAGGCATGAGCCACCAGCACTGGGCTTCCTTAAACTTCTATTACTGTCTCTCTCTTCCTTCCTCCTCCTCTGGCTCCTTCTCCTTATTCCTTCAATTCCTCCTCCTGCTTCTCCCAGTGTTAACTTTAGAGTATTTTGGGCACACGCCCTGGTCCTGGGCTTGAACTCAGGCCCTGGGCACTGTCCCTGAGCCTCTTTGTGCTCAAGGCTAGCACTCTACCACTTGAGCCACAGTGCTACTTCTGGTTCTTTTGAATAGTTTATTGGAGATAAGAGCCTCACAGGGACTTTTCTGCCCAAGCTGACTTCAATCCTCGATCCTCAGATCTCAGCCTCCAGAGTAGCTAGGATTATAGTCATGAGCTACTGGCACCCAGCTAACTTCAGAGTTTTGTTTTTTGTTTTTGTTTTTGTTGATGGTGGGGACTGATCTCTGGGCCTGGACGCTATCTCTGAGCTCTTCAGCTGAAGGCTAGCACTCTACCACTAAAGCCACAGTACCACTTCCGGTTTTCTGAGTGGTTTATTGGAGATAAGAGTCTCGTGGTCTTTCCTGCTCGGGCTGGCTTTGAACTGCGATCCTCAAATCTCAGCCTCCTGAGTAGCTATGGGCATGAGCCACCAGCACCCGGCCTAACTTCAGAGTTTTAAAGAAGTCAAACGTGTATGCAGTTAATGACAAAGCATATATAGTTTCTATAAAAGAGGAATTGTGATGGAGATTAGATGCAGAAAAAATCAATTTACTTCTCTGGGGAACTCTAGAGTGCTTTTTGTAGACTGTGTCTTAAGTATGAGAAGAATTTCCTCAACCTGGAGGAGTAAAACCTTTAAACAAAACTGTAACTGGGGACAGTGTAGAGTGTTTGGAAGAACAAGTGATCTGCTATGGCCAGCAGGAGGTGGGTGTCCTCTGACAGAAGCTTGGAAAAGCTGATGAGTTTGGCTTTAACCTGAAGGACAGCTGGAGCCTGCTCACTCATTTGGAGAGAAGGCAAATCATCTCTAGGTGAAAGGGCAAGACACAAAAGGTCAGGTTGAAGGTGACTAGAATTCTGTAGAGAAGATATATCTATATCTTTATTTATTTATTTATTTGTCAGTTGTCAGGCTTGAACTCTGAGCTTGGGCACTGTCCTTGAGCTCTTCCGCTCAAGGTGAGTGCTCTACGACTTAAGCCTCCATGCCACTTCCGGTTTTCTAGTGTTTTTTTGGAGATAAGAGTTTTCTGGGCTTTCCTGCCTGGGCTGGCGTTGAACCGAGATTCTCAGATCTCAGCCTCCTGAATAGCTAGGATTACAGACAGCTATTGGTGCCTGACTATGTTCTTTTTGTGCCAATATCAGGGCTTGAATTTATGGCCTCACTTTCTTGCTCAGTTTTTCAGCTCATAGTGGGTATTCTACCTGTTGAGCTATACCTCCAGTTCTGGTTTTTGGTGGCTAATTGGAGGTAAGAGTATCACAGACTTTTTTTGCTTGAGCTGGCCTCAAATCTGGATCATCAGATCTTAGCCTCCTGAAAATTAGGATTGTATGCATTAGCTATTGGTGCCCACTCTGGTTGTTTTATATTAAATTTGGTGTGTAGTTTACATATCTCAATTCAGATTAACCATATTGACAATGTTTGTGGTCACCAAATTGGGCAGTACAAGTAGAAATCAAGAATGGGGGGTGGTGGTAATACACCAGTCCTGGGGCTTAAACTCAGGGCCCTGAGCTTTTTTTGCTCAAGGCTAGCACTCTACTATTTGAGCCATAGCTCTACTTCCAGCTTTTTGGTGATTAATTGGAGATAAGCGTCTCCTGCACTTTTCTACCAGTGCTGGCTTTGAACTACAGTCCTCAGCTCTTAGCCTTCTGAGTAGTAGCTAGGACTACAGGCCTGAGCCACCAGCCTAGCTTATTTTTTCCTTGAGACACTGAGGATTGTAGGTTTCAGGCATACTAGGCAATCACTGTTATCACTGAACTATATACCTCTGTCACCCCCCTTTTTTTCTGAGAAAGAAATAAGATCAGCCAGGTGCTGATGGCTCATGCTTGTAATCTAGTTACTTAGAAGGCTGAGATCTGAGGATCACAGTTTGAAGCCAGCCTGGGAAAGTCTGTGAGATTTATCTCCCATAAACTACTCAGAAAAGTGCGGTGACTCAAGTGGTAGAATACAAGCCTTGAGCACAAAGAGGCTCAGGGACAGTGCCCAGGCCCTGAGTTCAAGCCCCACAACTGACAAAAAGGAAAAAAAGAAAGAAAGAAACAAGATCTAAGTTGTTCAGTCTAGCAGTAAATTTGTGATCCTCTTGTTTCAGCTTCTAGAATAGCTGGGATTACAAATGTAAGTCACAATATCCAGTAAGTTTCTAACCCATCTCCACCTGGACACATTACTGGCTTTTTTTTCTTTTGCAGTTTTAGTGGCTTATTTAAGCACAAATAAAATACAAGGTGTATGTGAGGAACCTATTCATTTTCTTCACTGCACAGCCTGGCATTGGGAATGATGACTGATGGCTAGCTGGGTTGCTCTTTCCAGGATGGCTTTTGATTCTTGGAGGAAACATTGTGGGCCATCTCAGAGCAGTAAGACTTGTTGCACATGAGCAGCCAGCTCCTTGTGGATGTTGTAGACCAGGAACTTCCGGAATCCACTGGGCAGCTATGCTTTGTTTGCTTCTTGTTCCTATAACTAATGTAGGGCATCAAGATCTAACCCTAGAATCTACTCTGCACTCTGCTGTCAATGCTGGGTTTCTGCCAGTTACGCTTCATCTTTTTTTTGTTTGTTGTGGGGCTTGAACTCTTGGGTGCCGTCCCTCAGCTCTTCAGCTCAAGGCTAGCGCTCTACCACTTGAGCTACAGTGCCACTTCCAGCTTTTTCTGCTTATGTGGTGCTGAGGAATCGAACCCAGGTCCTCATGCATGCAAGGCAAGCACTCTTACCTCTGAGCCACCTTCCCAGCCCCAGGTTACACTTAATCTTGACATACGGGTCTGACTGGTGGCAGATGAATTTTTTGGTCCTTTTTTTGACGATCTTGGGCTTCACTAGAGATCTGAGGGCAGCCATGATGCCTAGCAGGAGGAGATGGCAGTGACCTCCATAGGCCGCACTGAAGAAGAGGTGTTACTGGCTTTTTAAGAATGGTGAGGGGTGCTGGGAAGGCAGTTCAGTGGTAGAGTGCTTGCCTAGCATGCATGAGGCCCTGGGTTCGATTCCTCAGCACCATATAAGCAGAAAAAAAGCCAGAAGTGGCACTGTGGCTCAAGTGGTAGGGAACTAGCCTTGAGCTGAAGAGCTGAGGGACAGTGCCCAGGCCCAGAGGTCAGGCCCTATGACCGATGAGAAGGAAAAAAAAAAAAAAATGGTGAGGGCTGAGCGGAGGTGGCTCAGGCCTGTAATCGTAGTTACTAATGAGGCTGAGATCTGAGGATCACAGTTCAAATCCAGCCCGGGCAGGAAAGTGAGACTCTTATCTCCAATAAACCACCAGAAAGCCAGGAATGGCCTTGAACTAAAGAGCTGAGGAACAGCGTCTGGGACTGACCCCCCCCCCCCCAAAACAAAACAAAAAAAAAACAAAAAAAAACGGTGAGAGCCAGGAACATGGCTTAGCAGTAGTAGTGCTTGCATAGCATGCATGAAGCCCTGGGGTCAATTCCTCTGTACCACATAAACAGAAAAAGCCATGAGTAGCACTGGTGGCTCAAATGGTAGAGTGCTAGCCTTGCGCACAAAGAGGCCACCCAACAACAACCAAAAAAAATAAAAAGAATGGTGAGCCCAGTACTGAGGATCGCAGTTTGAAGCCAGTCAGGGCAGAAAAGTCCCCAGGAGACTCTTACCTCCAATTAACCACTCAAAAAATGGAAGTGGCTCTGTGGTTCAAGTGATAGAGTGCTAGCCTTGAGCGCAAAAAGTCTCAAGGACAGTGCCCAGACTTTTAGTTCAAACTCCACAACCTACAGAAGAAAAAACAAAACAAAACAAAAACAAGAATGGCAAGGCAACAAGAGGTAGCTCTCTGTGAAAGCAAGATAAGATTATACAAGTTAAACTTTATTTAAAAAGGCTTTAAAAGCTGGGCGCTGGTAGCTCCCACCTATAACCCTAGCTATGCTCGAGGCTTAGATCTGAGGATTGCAATTCAAAGCCAGAACTGGCAGGAAAGTGCCTGAGACTCTTATCTCCAACTATCAGAAAACTGGAAGTGGAGCTGTGGCTCAAAGTGGTAGAGTACTAGGCTTGAGCAAAGGAATTGAGGGACAGCAACCAGACCCTGAATCCAAGCTTCACAACCAACATCAACAACAAAAAGTTTTAGAGTTGGGCGTTATGGCTCATCCCTAGAGGCTAACCTGGAGGATCAAAGTTGGACACCAGCCCCTGCTGAAAAGTCCATGGCACACCGTATCCAAAATAGCAAGCAAAAAGTCAGGAAGGAGGTAGAGGACCAGCCAAATGAGTAAGCCAAGCAAGCTGAGCAAGCTCAGGGCCCTGAATTCAATCTTCCTCTCCCCTAAAATAGTAGCAATGTTTGGTTGGGTTCTGTGGGCATTTTGACAACATGGATTTTTCCTGTGGAGTGTTTAATTGTTGTTTTGTGAACATCCTTGCAGTTAAAGATAACACTTTAAAAATAAAATTCTCTCTTCACGGCAACTTGAGCTCTGACACTTGATGGGAGAATCAACGGAACCTGGAGGACATTGTTTAGAGTTGACATTCTCTATTGTAATCTTGTTCCTGTTTATTTTTAAATTGTCACTTATTTCATTGGAAAGGAAAGGTGTTGCTCAGTTTTGTTTTGTTTTGTTTTCCAGTCATGGGGCTTGAACTCTGGGCCTGGCGCTGTCCCTCAGCTTTTCAGCTCAAGGCGAGCACTCTACCACTTGAGCCACTTCCGGTTTTCTAGTGGTTTATTGGAGATAAGAGTCTCACGGACTTTCCTGCCCAGGCTAGCTTTGAACAGTGATCCTCCGATCTCAGCCTCCAGATTAGTTAGGATAACAGGCATGAGCTACCAGCACCCAGCTGTTGCTCAGTGTTAAAACATTACAAATTGCTTTGTTACAGAATGACTAAAGATATATGGTGGGGGAGGGGGAGGATAGTTGATTTGTGACACCCCCACCCGGGTCAATCCCTAATATCAGACATACTCACAAAGTACACACAAAATAAGAAAGGAAAGTTTCTCCAAAATGCCACAGGGGTCCAACATTTATTAAAGCCTTGTCAAAAGCATTTGTTAGAGAAGTTGACATTTCCTCCTTGGAACTGATATGTCTTCTGGAATGAGACAAGAATGTTTGTTTCCTTCTCCTTGCCCCTGTTATTGTTCCTCTGCCTTGATAAACACCATCAGGGAAGAGTAGATTTTCTCTGGCTCTGAGCCACATGGGTGGAAAAATCCTTGGCCCTGCCCGCCCCCCTCCCCTGGTTCATCCAACAGTGCTCTGATCACTCACCCGGTCACCAACTCTCACGGTGACCCTTGAAGTAAAATGCAGAACTGCTGAACCCTGGAAAGAAAGGGGAGTAGTGAGCCATCACTTCCTCATTATCCACACAACTGTTAGTAGGCACATGGCCTGGGCTCTTTTTACTCCTTTCTACCACAGACAGCACACCAAGCACCTGCCAAATCAGAGGGGAGAGGCTGACCTGGGTTCACCAGAGCTATTCTGACACACCAGAACCCAGACTTACAGCATTCCCAATTGAGGGGATTTTCTGCTCCTGGGGACAAGGATTGTGTAGCAACAAACCAATTCACCCCTGCCTTCTGTTTCCCCGCAGACCAGGCCTGCCAGGATACTGGATGGGTGATTTGGAGCCTTAGAAACTGGGAATTAGGTAGTCAAGACAGAAAAACGACACGAATTGGCTCCAGAGCACGTCGGTGGGCTGTTGGATCTGAATTCCCCCCAGTCCTGACAAGCCAGAAGACCTTGGTGCCAGGGCTATCTATCTGTGGCTTTAAGCGTGAGCCTCTGGGAGGTGACTGGGAGGGCGGTGGAGGGCGCCCGCCTACCTGGGGAACCTGCGTGAGGTGTGGCCGGAGCGCCGGGGATGCGAGGAGGGTCGGGGCGGGCTGAAAGTTGGAGCAAGCAGGAAGTGAAGCCTGGGCTGCGCGGGGAGGAAACCGACTGGGCGAGTTCTGCGGCGGCCAGGCCTGAGCGCTCGGAGACATGGTGAGCGTCCCGGGGACCCAGCACCGGGCCGCCTGAGAAGGGGGGGCAGAGGGGGGCTCGGGAAGTGGGGGTGTCGCCAGGGGCGGGAACGGGGAGTTGGTGGCGAAGTTCGAGAGAGAGAGCGCGCCAGCTGGGCCGGCCCTGCCCGTGGCCCCTTCTTCTTTGACAGCTTGGCCGCCAAGAGTTCTGAGCTGCCTGGGCGGAGGTTCCTGCGCTTTTCTCCCCCGGGTCACTGCCTGGGAGCAGGACTGGGGGGGGGGGGGGGGAATTCCAGGCAGAGTTGACAGCTCGCCCTCCCCCTCACCGTCCTCCTCCTCCTCTTCCTCCTCCACCTCCTCCAGCTGGGCCTGAGCCCGGGTGTTGTGACACTAAGCCGGGCTGGGAGCGCTTCTGCTGTTCCTGTCTCAGATTCCAGTCCAGCCCCACGGAGTCCCCCTTCCCCCCCCAACCCCCCACCTTGGCCATTCCCTGTATCCCCCTGTACACACACCCCCCCCCCAAAGGGTCTGGCTGTCCACCAAGTCCAAGGAGGCTTCAGCCCCTTCTCCATTAATGTGAAAGTTAAGGGTTTATGAAAAGGAACGAGACGTTGGTGCTCTGTGATCATCTAGTTTGAGCCTACACCCTGACCAGTTTCTAGAGGCCCACTGGGTCACGGAGGGAGGACCTTAGGAATTGTTTTTCCCTCCTGGTTCAAAAACCTTATCAAGAGGTCTCCAGGTAGGGAGGACTTGTCCTCCATTTCCCCAAGGCCCTGGTGACTGCGAGTTTTGTTGGGTGTTTTTGTTTTTAAATATCTGCATAAGCAGGCAGTGGTGTGGGGCCTGCCCAGGGTGCTGAGTGGTGGAGAAAAACAGACGTGTGAGTGAGGTTCAAAGGTGCTAGGAAACCTCTGGGAATCTTGGTTGTCAGTTGTTTTAGGTCCCAGTAGTGGATCTGCTGATTATACTGCACGAGGCCCCTCACTTCCCCCAGGCCAGATCAGCTCTCCAGCAGCTGTCTGGGAGAGAAAAATGAGTTGGGGGGGGAGGGATTAGGTAAGGGTGATCTGTTAGCTAGCACTCACACTTTTAGTGAGATCCCAGTGGGTTCAAGGAAAGGAGGTGGCTCCGGGGATTGGTAAATAGTGCTTGAGTGTGCAAGTTGTGAGATGTCACTTCTGGCATCTCCATGACCCTCTCTGAGACACCTCTCCCCCCCACCACACCCCCAATAAAAAGATTTATCTAATGAGTCTAGTATCAGATCTCACCTCTGGGTCCTAAACATATACTTAGGTTGGATTACAGGAGTAATACGTAAAAAACAAAAAAAAAATAGTTCCTTTGTTAACAATTCAAGCATTATAAAAAGCTAAAATCCACTTTAGCCCTACCTTCCTCTGATCTTTTGGATCCTCCACCACTTGGCCTAATTAACCCCTGTTGCCATCCAGGAGGAGGCAAGTGGAGGTGGAGGAAATGATCGGGTTCGGAACTTGCAGAGCGAGGTGGAGGGAGTCAAGAATATTATGACCCAGAATGTAGAGCGGATCCTGGCCCGTGGGGAGAACTTGGACCATCTCCGCAACAAGACAGAGGATCTGGAAGCCACGGTGAGATGGGGAACAAACTGGAACTGCAGGAAGAGGGAAGGAGAATTATTGGCAGGAAGAGAAGTTTTTGTGGGGAAGGCAAAATGAACAGAGAGGATGGAAGTCTTCCGTTTCTGTTGCTTTTTTGCTTGTTTCGGGAATTGTTCTGAGTCAAGACCCCACTTCTGGTCCAGCTCTGCTCCACTGATTGGGAGGGGGTCCACCCACAGAGGCATTTCCTGAGAGTGACAGACATCCCTGTCAGTCCGTACATTCTTAGGCTTCTTTCATGTAAAACTGATTCTGCCTACTCTTGACTCTTCCAGGGCAAAATATTAGCTCTGGAAATATTCTCCAAGAGTTTTGGCCTTCTCTAGGGGTTATTAGACAAGGAGTAGAAAACTATCGAGTCTTGCTGAGTTGGCGTTAAGAAGCTGGAAAGAGCAATGAAATGCTTGGATCCCAGAGTCCTCTGTCAGCCAAAGGCTAGAATAACATATCCCACACATCTTGCCTCTTTCTCCAGGCCAGTTGCTTGGAAAGAGCTGGAGATTCTTAAGCCAAAGCTGAAGCTTTAAGTTCAATGTACAGTGAAGAGACTGGGAGGTTAGGACTGGTTTTCTTAGTCCTTTGTGGAATCTTGTGTGTGTGTGTGTGTGTATGTGTGTGTGTGTGTGTGTGTGTGTGTGTTATTGAAGGTTGAATTCAAGGCTTCTTAGTCACGTGCTTTCTCATTCTTTTTTTTTTTTTTTTTTTTTGGGTCCGGTCGTGGGGCCTGAACTCTGGGCCTGGGCGCTGTCCCTCAGCTCTTCAGCTCAAGGCTAGTGCTCTACCACTTGAGCCACAGCGCCACTTCCGGCTTTTTTCTTTTTGCTTATGTGGTGCTGAGGAATCGAACCCAGTGCCTCGAGCATGCAAGGCAAATGCTCTACCACTGAGCCACCTTCCCAGTCCCATGTGCTTTCTCATACTGAGCCATGTTCCTCAGCCCCTTTTGCTTAGGTATGGTCTAGTACTTTTGCCTGTGGCCATTAGGCAATCAAGCCCAGTGTTGTTTTTTGTTGGTGGTGGTGGCAGCGGAGGCAGTAGTGGTAGTGGAGGTGGTGGTGATGTGTGTGTGTGTGTGTGTGTGTGTGTGTGTGTGTGTGTGTGTGTGTGTGTGGCTTGAATTCAGGGTGAGGCAGTCTGAGGCTTGAATTCAGGCCCTGGGTGCCACTTGAGCCACAACTCTGCTTCTGGCCTTTTGGTGGTTAATTGTAGAGATGAGTCTTATAAAAGACTTTATTGCTTGGGCTGGCTTTGAACTGCAATTCTCATATCTCAGCCTGAGTAGTTCAGATTACATGCATTAGCCATTGGCACTCAGCTGCAGGTGTGTGTGTGTGTTTGTCTGTCTTTCTGTCTGTCTTCTGTCTGTCTGTGCTGGTACTAGAGCTTAAACTTGGGAACTTTCACTCTTACTCAGCACTCAGCTTGCTAACTAACCACTTGAACCATATCTCCAGCCCACATTTTGTTGTAATTAGAGATGGAATCACTGACTTTTCTGCCTGGATTAGCTTTGAACCATGGCCCTCATGGTCTCAGCCTTGTGCATAGCTAGGATTACAGGCATGAGCCATTGGAGCTGGGCATCCAACTTACTTTTTGAGATAGTACCTTGCTAAGTTTTTTTTTTTTTTTTTTTTGGGGGGGGGGTCCGGTCGTGGGGCCTGAACTCTGGGCCTGGGCGCTGTCCCTCAGCTCTTCAGCTCAAGGCTAGTGCTCTACCACTTGAGCCACAGCGCCACTTCCGGCTTTTTTCTTTTTGCTTATGTGGTGCTGAGGAATCGAACCCAGGGCCTCATGCATGCAAGGCAAGTGCTGTACCACTGAGCCACCTTCCCAGCCCCTAAGTTGTTGTTTTTTTTTAACCTGACTGGCCTTGAACCAAGATCCTCCCATCTCTACCTCCCACTTAGCTAGGATTATAGATATACCTCATCAAACTCAGCCCACTGTATGAAATCTTGGATACCTATTTGGTCTGCCTGGGACTTAGTTCCTCTTTCTGTAGTTTAGTCTGAGTACATGTCTCAGGGAGACTGTGTCTGCAACTTGAGTGAGGAAAAGAGGAGTTTCCCTCACTACCAACCTCCTATGCTGTCCTGTGCTTTCCATCTTTCCTAAAGGATAAAGAGTCATAGAGCTGGGAGGTATGCCCACCTGGAGCCTATACCACTTAGTCCCAGAGTTTGCCCTCCTAAGGGTGAAATGTACTACCAGTGTTGCACATTTAGGTGGGAACATGTATGAAAGGCCCCTTGGGGTGCATGACAATGTAGGGGTAAGAGGAGGGAGAGGACTCCAGGGCTGTTGTCATGATTCAGGTGAACTCCTAGGAGACCAAGGATTCTACCTTTGAACTAGATTGTTAGGAAGATGTAATTGTCAAGATAGGAGGATAGAACATCTTTTATTTCAAAATTGGTTACTTTAGTAATGTAAACACTTAGATGTGTGGCATGTGGGACTCCGTTTGTCTCTTGTTCACCAGGTCACTCATTTTCCCTTGTCCCCAACAGTCGGAGCACTTCAAGACGACATCGCAGAAGGTGGCCCGGAAATTCTGGTGGAAGAATGTGAAGATGATTGTCATCATCTGTGTGGTTGTCATAGTCATCATCCTTTTTATTGTGCTCTTTGCCACTGGAACCATCCCCACTTAGGAAGTCCCTCCCAATCCCAACCTCTTCTGCAGGGGTGACCCTCCAAAATGGGTGCCAAGAGAAGCCCTCTCTCCTGTCCTCCATGGGAATGCTGCTCAGTCCCTCAGGCCCCTCCGCCACATAGTATGCCCCAGAAGCACCCCTGGAAGGAGAGCTGGACTGTGGTGCATTTCACAGGTCCCTAGAATGGGTTGGAGAGGACTCAGAGGATGCTGTGTGTATCTGGGAAACTGTTGGTGGCCAGTGGGCAATAAAGGCTTTTCAGTATCCGTATGTGTGAGGCACCCTCTTCCTTTCCACTCTTCTCTTTGACACTTCCATTTATTTTCAACCAGAATGTTCTCTGGCTGAAGTTCTCCCCAATGAGGCCCAAGTTGTTGGAGAGGAGGAGATGTCATGTTTGGAAAAGAAAGATGGAGGGCTCCCTGTTTTGTGTGTGCGTGTGTGTGCACATGCGTATATGAGTATATGTTATGTGTATATCTGCCACTACTGAGGCTTGAACTCAGGGCCTGGGTACTGTCTTCCCATTCCTTTGCTTAAGACTGGTTCTCAAGCTGGGCGCCGGTGGCTCACACCTGTAATCAGGAAGCTGAGATCTGAGGATCGCGGTTCAAAGCCAGCCCGGGCAGGAAAGTCCGTGACACTCTTATCTCCAATTAAAAAAACCACCAGAAAACCGGAAGTTGCATTGTGGCTGAAGTGGTAGAGCCTTTGCCTTGAGCTAAAGAGCTAAGGGACAGTGCACAGGCCCTGAGTTCAAGCCCCATGACCAACAAAAACAAAAAGTCTCTTGGACTTGCCGGCCCAGACTTGCTTCAGTTAGGATTATAGGCATGAACTACCAGTGCCTTTCTTTATTCTACCCTAGCTTCTGCCTTTCTTTACTCTAGCCTTTATGATCATCACAAGTCTCAAGTACAAAAAAATTTCTGGAGATATTGGCGTAGGAGAATTCAAAACCACATGAGCTTTTTAGAGTGGCATGCAAGGGTAAATGGCCTCTTGGATCCTTTTTCTACTCTTCTCCTATAAGTGTTGACTGAGATATGAAACCCTTAACAAGAGCATGCCTAATGGTTTAGGACCTCCTGCCTTGTCTGCCATCATCTCTCTTCTATGGTCCTGTTGTAATCAATCCAGAGGCAAAAGTTGGAGGAATTATACTACTTTTCCTTTTTTGGTGTTTCTGTGTTCTGTTTGTCTTTTGTCTGCTCCTGCTCTTCTGGGATTTAATAGGGCCTTGGGTCTCAGCTGTCTGGAGTGGGTGAGTATGTCTCCCCCGCATACCATGGCTGGGCATAGTCAGTGTCACAGGACAGAGCCTGCAGCCCTCCTTCTGTTCTGTTTCCTAGACAATGAGCTTTCTGTCTTCTGGCTTCCCTTCTCTCTACCATGTTCCACCACCATTGCTATTCTTTGCAGTGGCCAGTCTGCCTTGGCTTGTGTGAGGAGGGTTTTTGCCATTTCAATTTGTTTCCTCCATAGGCTTTCAGAATTGCAAACAAACCTGCTGTTGGGGAAGATAAGGCTTAAGGACTCGCTTGGAGATCAGGTTCTAGAATCATGCTCCAAATTCTGAGGAGGGTGGGGGAAAGCCCAGAAAAGTCCTTCTAAGCAGACTCCATCTATCCTTTCTCTCAACCCATGCCTGGATGCAAGCTCAGGCCATCCGGGTTCTGTGAGAGTCTTCCTTACAGAGAAGGATCAGACCCAGAGAGGGAAACTCTATTTGGATGTTGGCAGTGGCCTGAGTAGGGTGGAGGTACCTAGTGATTATTAGGTAGCAGCAAGAAGACGGTACATTCAGCTTAGGAGAACTCTCTAGCAATAGCAGACATGTCAGCTTACCCAGCTGAAAAACAAGCTTCTGTCCAAGTAGATCTGAAGTTCCCTCCTGAAGGATCTAGAATAATTCCTTTCCCCATGGGGACAGAGGTTTCCTTCCTTCCTTCCTTCCTATTTCTCTTTCTTTTCTTTCTTCCTTTCTTTCTCCCTCTTTTCTTTCTTTTAAATAGTTATTATAGCTGGGAAGGTGGCTCAAGTGGTAGAGCGCTCGCCTTGAGCTGAAGAGCTGAGGGACAGCGCCCAGGCCCAGAGTTCAGGCCCCACGACCGACAAAAAAAAAAAAAGTTATTATAAAGATGATATACAGAGGGGCTACAGTTCATAAGTCAGGTGACGAGGACATTTCTTTTTGGACTGTGTCACCCCTTCCCTTCCTTCTCTCCCAGTTTTTCCCTCCTGTCTCCACCCACAAGTTGTATAGTTCATTTTCAATACAGTGTTTAGTGAGTACTACTACAGCAGAGACTGCTTCCTCCCTTCTTCCCTCTTTTCCTCCCACCCTCCATCCTTTCTTTCCTTCCTTCCTTTTCTTGTCTTTTCTTTTTTCATACTGGGGGTCGAACCTAGGATGTTGCCCTTGCTAGGCTAGTGCTTTGCCACTAACCTACTTCCCATCCCATGACCACTTTCTTTGTAAGTGGGGGTGAAATCCACATAAGATATAAATGTCTTGTGTGTGTGTGTGTGTGTGTGTGTGTGCGTGTGCACGCACACGCTGGGCCTGGAGCTTGAACTCAAGGCCTGGGCACTGTCCCTGAGCTTCTTTTTGTTCAAGGCTAGCACTCTATCACTTCAGATACAGCTCCACTTATGGCTTTTTCTGAGTAGTTTATTGGAGATAAGAGTCTCACAGACGTTCCTGTCCAGGTTAGCTTTGAACCATGAATCATTTCAGCCTCCTGAGTAGCTAGGAAAAGGCATGAGCCACCAGTACCTGGCTACAAGTTATAATTTTAAGGTGTACAACTCAATGACCTGTGGGGTGCTCAGACTGTTGTGCAACCACCTGTCTTCCATTTGAGAACGTTTGGGGCATCTATTTTTAGCATGGGTAAGATGCAGACACTAAGGTGGCAGACACCCTGCCTGGCTTGTTCATGACATCCCAGTGCCTTCACAGAGCCTAGCAGGGGCTCCATAGGTGGTTAGAGTGAATGGCACTTCTCTTACTAATGTCATCTACCAGATCCCTGGCAGCCCCAGCTCCAGGGTGCACAACTGCGTGGGGTTCATGGATTAGGCGCGCACACACGCACTCCTTTCAGGGGTGCCCAGCATGCAGAACTGGCACCAGGCTGGGGTGTCATCTGAAGTTGGGCGCTGGTGGCCCGGCAGGAGGCGCCCCATGGACCCTGCCGCGGGCCAGCTTTCGGTTTGACCTGGTCCGGGTCATCGCTCACGGAAGGCGCAGCTCCCCCTCCACTCCCCCCCCCCCCCGCCCCGTCCCTCCTCTCCCCCCCCCCCGCCCCGTCCCTCCTCTCCCCCCCCCCCGCCCCGTCCCTCCTCTCCCCCCCCCCCCCGCCCCCGCCAGCGCCCGGCCCCGCCCCGCCCCACCGCTTCCTCCGGGACGCTGGCAGCTCAGTGGGCACAGAAGCCGGGACCAGACGCGGCGGCTGCGGCAGCGATGGTGAGGGCGCGGGGCAGGGTCACCTGGCCCGGTGGGGCAGAGGGCTAGAGTGCAGGGTAGGGGGCGGGAGGCGGGGGTGAAAAGCCCTTGGGGAATGGGAGGCTGAGAAGGGTGGACCCGCAAGGGAATCCGCACGGGAGCGGGCAGACCCAGCTCCGCACTCAGCCTGCGGGAGAGCGAGGTGTACGCCCCGTCGCGGCTGCCCCAGGCAGAAGGAGCCAGCCTGGCTCTTGCTTCCCACGCCTGTGCAGCCCAGTGGCCTCTGTGACTTTGGCTTTGCAGACAGACTGGGTTTGAGATCTTGTCTGTGTGACCCAGGGCAAGTCACTTAACCTCTCTGAGCCTCCTTTTCCGCACGGTGAAGTGGGGCCAGCAATAACCCTTACTGGTTTAAAGGGAGGTGACCTGGAGCTCCTATGGCAGAGGCTGACGGCCAGGCACGCAGAGCCCACTGCTAAGAAGTTGGGGGTAATGTGATGACCTCTTCAGCCCTTCCCCAAGCTCAGAGAAGCCAAGCCTGGCTGGGGGTTGGAAATCCGATCCCACACCTGGTAGAGGCCCTTCCAGCCTGACACACTGGGTACTAGAGTGTGAACTTTTTCCCTGGGAAAGAGGAACAAAAAAAAAAGTTGTTTACTCCTTTGTAAAACTTCCCTGTGGTTATCAAAGTGTGGCACAGGTTTGATCCCCTCCTAAAATCTACCTAGTGACACAGCCCGGACTGAGTCACCCTCACCCTGATTCAGACACTGGGCTCTGTCCTCACTTGCCTTTTCTAAGGCAAAAGTATCAAGAGTCAGTTGGTGGCAGGAGCCCCCTCCCCTGGGGCTCCTGGGAAGATGGGCCCGGCAGGAAGTGGTGGGTTTGGTGCTTTAAAGGTTCTGTCTTGGAGAAGCTGGTGGGGTGTGATGGATGTGGTCTGCCTTTCTAGGGGTCTTGATGCCTAGATGGCCTCTTCTCTGGGGAACTGAAGGCAGGAAAGGGAAGTGGAGCAGGAAGGTAGTAGTGAGGTCTGAGGCCACACCAGGAAATTGAGGGAGGCTCTGGGAATGGGCAGAGCCTTGAGCCCACTTCCAAGCATGTGGGGGGCAAGAGATCAGGCAAGGCTGGGTATGGGCTGCTAGCCCTGGAGGTAGACTGTGAGCTGGAGAGAAGAGGAAACTGAAATGAAGGTGATGGCAAAGATCATAGTGGGACTGGCGTGAGGATAGAACTTAATAGTGGATCAGAGCCTGGAGAGGGCGTATTGATTGGGCTCCCAGCTTCACCCTCTTACGCTCTGTCTCTCATTCTTCTCTGGACTCTCATTCTGGCTTGGTGTTTTCATTTAGGGCTCTACCCCTTGAGCCACAACTCCATTTCTGGCTTTTTACTGATTAACTGGAAGTGTCTCTCAGACTTTTCTGCGAGACCCTGGCTTTGACCTGAGATCATCAGATTTCAGCCTCCTGAGTAGCTAAGATTTCAAGTGAGCCACCAGCACCTGTCAAATCCTGTCTCTTTAATCATGTCCTTTCTTTTCTTTTTTTTTCTGTCACATTCTGTAACTTCCATTTACCTTATTGTTACAGAGGTGATGTACAGAGGGATTTCAATTGCATGAGTCAGGTAATGAATGACTACATATCCTTTCAGACAGTGTCTTCTGTTCCCAATTCTCTCCCAGTCCCTCCCTCCCGTCTCTACCCACAACTTGTATAGTCCACTTTCATCAATGTCCAGTGAGCTCCACTGCTGCACTTTTTCATCCTTTTTCCCTTGAGTTCTGTGCTTCCCCCCCAACCACCCCCACCAACCCTCCTGAAGATACAGATGTGACTACACCATACATAAGGTAAAGAAAAAAGAAGTCTTTTGATTCCATATCTTGGAGTTTGTTTCAGTATGTATATTACTTTATATAAATATGAAGTCCTTGCCCTTTCTTTCCTTTCCATCACTTTCCTTTTCCTTCCTTCTTCCCATACCCTTTTTCTACCCTTTTCCTTTCTCCTTTTCCTTCTTCTTTATGACACATTCAATCAACAAGAATTTTGTAGCATGTTCCTTTGTGCTGCTCATGATGACTGTAGAGATTAGAGTAGAAACAAAGCAGTAACGGGAAAGACAGAAACTGAATGAATCAGTCTGTTGAAGTCATTCACATTGTAAATGGGCCCCTCTCTAAAGAGTTTGTGTGTGGAGTCACATGCCTCCCTCAGATGCACCCAAGTTGAGCTGGCAACATCAAAAGGGCTGAAGATGGCACTGGTGGCTCATGCCTTGTAATGCTAGCTACTCAGGAAACTGAGAAGAGAAGGATCATGGTTCAAAGTTAGCCCACGCAGAAAAATCAGAGAGACTTAATCTCCAATTAGCTATCCAAAAGCCAGGCTGGAGGCATGGTTGAAGTAAGTAGTGAAGTGCCAGCCATTAGCAAGCAAGCTCAGCAGGAGGCTCTAAATTCAGATCTCACTGAGGAGAATGGGAGTGGGAGGGTTAGATGAATCTTTAGCCAGCCACTGCAGCATTGGCTCTCCCGTTACCTGCATCTGGTTTAGCACAGGGTTTGGAATGTGATCGCTGGAGTCTATGTTGGCATCACACTCTGATCTTAAACTTCCCAGCTCTGTGCTATTAAGTGATTTTACACCTCTGGACCAAAGTTTCCTCTAAAATGGGATACTAGTACTGTGTTCATTGGATTATTGTGAGAATTTAATGAGAAAAGATGAACAAACAGCTAATAGCACCATGTTCAGGTAAGTTATAAGCCTTAAGCTGTTATAAGATGTTAAGGCTACCTTTATGGCCCGCGGAAAATGGCATGGCTCAAGTGGTAGAACATTTGCTTAGTAAAACCTGAGTTCAAACCCTAAACCATACACACATACATACATACACACACAAAAGGTGTTATTGCTCAAGATATCTAATCTTTTCAACAGCTCAGAGTGCCTGATGAGACTAAACCAGATGCAGTTTTCAAAGGCCAATGAAAAGTCTTCATTTGGGTTAGAAAGAATTAAAGGCACAAGGGTACAATAGGGAAGAACTTGCTTGATTGAACATTTTGTAAAACTTAAGTGGTCTGAACAACCATAAGTATTTTGCTCTCACAGTAAGTATTGAGGTCTGACCTCTAAGGGAAGATTTTTTTTTTTTTTGGTCGGTCATGGGGCTTGAACTCTGGGCCTGGGCGCTGTCCCTCATTTCTTCAGCTCAAGGCAAGCGCTCTACCACTTGAGCTACAGTGCCACTTCCGGTTTTCTGGTGGTTTATTAGAGATAGGAGTCTAACGGTCTCTCCTGCCCGGGCTGGCTTTGAACCGCGATCCTCAGATCTCAGCCTCCTGAGTAGCTAGGATTACAGGCTTGAGCCACCAGCGCCCGGCTGGAAGATTTTTTTTTTTTAATCGCCGAGGTTCTGAGTGCTCTATATAGTTTTTTTTGTTTTTTTTTTTTGTCGGTCGTGGGGCTTGAACTCTGGGACTGGGCGTGGTCCCTCAGCTCTTCAACTCAAGGCGAGCGCTCTACCACTTGAGCTACAGCGCCACTTCCTGGAAGATTTTTTTTTAAGAGAAGGTAAACTTGGTCTGTATCAATATTAGCTCTTATTTATTGAACATTTCATATGGGTAAAGCATTGTGCTAAGGTTTTTGTTTTTGTTTTTTTGTCAGCTGTGGGGCTTGAACTCTGGACCTGGGTGCTATCCCTGAGCTCTTCAGCTCAAAGCTAATGCTCTACCACTTGAGCCACAGTGCCACTTCCAGTTTTTGGAGTGGTTTATTGGAGATTAGAGTCTCATGGACATTCCTGCCCCAGCTGGCTTTGAACAGCGATCCTCAGATCTCAGCCTCCTGAGTAGCTATAATTATAGGCATGAGCCATTGGCACTCGGCTATGCTAAGGTTTTTGTTTACAACATGTCACATAATTCCAAACTAGTATTATGAGGTTTATATGGTAGGTATTTTTATTATCACCATTTTGTAGACCAGGAAGTGGAGGACAGAAAGGTCACATCCTCAATCCCATTCACTCAGCTGGTGAGTGGCAGAGGCGGGATTTGAAGATAGGGATGGGATGTACATCTCAGAGCTGAGTGCCAACCCAGGGAGGAGAGGACTCAGTACCACCTGTACCTGTCCATCCCCACCAGCTGGAACAGGGCTTCTTGGATAACAAGAAGAGTTAGGATAGGAACTGTGATGTATTTAGTTGTTTATTGTTTCTAGTTAAGATATAGGATTTTTTATTATGTTACAAAGGTTGGTCTTAAATTCTGTGGTTCAGACAGGTACTGGTAGCTCACGCCTGTAATCCTAGCTACTCAGGAGGCTGAGATCTGAGAATTGTGTTTCACAGCCAGACCAGGCAGCAAAGCCCATGAGACTCTTGTCTCCAATAAACTATTTAAAGAGCTGGAAATAGAGCTGTGGCTCAAGTTGTAGAGCATCAGCCTTGAGGCTCAAAGATAGCACCCATGCCCAGAATTCAAGCCCCAGAGCCAGCACAAAAACAAAACAAAACAAACCTCTAGGTTTCAAGTTATCCTGCTACCTCAAATTCCTCAAGAAATTTGTTTTTCAGATTTTTTTTTTGTGTGTCAGTTGTGGGGCTTGAACTCTGGGCCTGGGCACTGTCCCTGAGCAAGCCCTCTACCACTTGAGCCACAGCCCTACTTCCAGTTTTCTGGTGGTTAATTGGAGATAAGAGTCTCACAGACTTTCCTGCCCAGGCTGGCTTTGAACTGTGATCCTCAGATCTCAGCCTCCTGAGATGCTACAATTACAGGTGTGAGCCAGGGGCGCCCAGCTTTGTTTTTCAGATTTAACTTATGACCATACATGCTAGGAAAGTGTTCTACCATTGAGCTCCCAATAGGGAGGTTTTTTTCTTTGCTGTTGTTGTTTTTTGGATTTTTTGGTTTTTGTTTTTTTGTTGGTCCTGGGACTTGAACTCATGGCCTGGATGCTGTCCCTGAGCTTGCCTGCCAGCCTGCCTGCCTGCCTGCCTGCCTGCCTGCCTCCCTCCCTCCCTCCCTCCCTCCCTCCCTCCTTCTCTCCCTCCCTCTCTCCCTTCCTTCCTTCCTTCCTTCCTGCCTGCCTGCCTTCTTTTTCCCTTCCTTTCATTCTTTATTTCTGTTTTTCTTTTTTAGCTCAAGGCTAGCACTCTACTACTTGAGCCACAGCTCCACTTTCAGCTTTTTGATGATTAATTGGAGGTAAGGGTCTCTGGACTTTACAGCCCGAGCTGTCTTCAAACCATAATCCTCAGATCTCAGTCTCCTGAGTAGCTAAGATTATAGGCATGAGCCATCAGCACCAGGATTAACAGGGAGGATTTTATGAGTTGTGTTTGCAAGAGTATTGAGTTTGGAAAAACCTGGAAGATTGTCTAGAGGATTAAGGATATAGCTCAGTGGTAGAACACTTACCTAGCATGTGTGTAGCCCCGAGTTCCATCCCAGCTCTGTGTGTGTGTGTGTGTGTGTGTGTGTGTGGTTTAGTGTTTTAGGGGGATATTCTGTATAGATAGGAACAGTCAGTCAAGAACATTTCCTGTATAACTACAACCCTCTGTTTAGCAACAACTGCACTTCTTCCTTTTTCTAGGCTCAAAACCCCAAGTCCTGCCTCTGTAATACTTTCACCCCCCCCCACCTCCTCTCTGCAGTCTGCTCCCCATGCAACCCTTCCCTCTTCCCAAGGCAGACATCTCATCCTCTGCTGATGGCCTCCACCACCCTCGGGCTGGCCTCTCTGCCCAGACTTTTCTCCTCTCTTCCATATCCTGAAGCTCCTCTGGCTCATCACTCCCTCCATGCTAGACTTTGCTAGACTCCTTGATTGTACTGCTTTCCTCAGTGCCACTCTGCCCTTCCCCATTTACCTTTGGCTTAACCCTTCACTGTTGCAGTGTGCCCCCCCACCCATGTCTCTCTGCCAAAATGCCCCAGCTTCACCCCATCCTTCAAGTGCTCACCACACCATTCGAATCACAATTCTCCCTCTTGCAATCATGCCCTGTCTGTGGGCTGCTACAACACTTACCCTTTGTATCTCACAGTGTAACTCTTTATCCTACTCTGATTGTATCGTATGTGTCTCTTCCCCAGCTGAAGAGGAATCTCCCTGAAAAGAGGCATAGTTCATTCAGAAAATATTTATCACTCACCCACTGCTAGCCAGGCACTATGCTGAGTTACAAGTGGCACAGGGCTGCATGGCCCTTGCCCTCTAATTGCCCATCTCCTTCTTTAATCCCTAGTGCATTATCTCTTTGGATACCAATAGAGGTCCATGCACCAGAATTTCCTTTTAATGCTGCAGAATAGGACTGCAGAGGACTGAGACTCACTTGAATGGCTCTATGATCCCTGGAGCACATGTGTTCTTTTAAGCCTGGGCCTATCTTGGCCCCACAGTGAAGGAGACTGCTTCAGATTATAGGTGGAGAACCAGCCAACCCTCTGGAGAATGTGACCCAGTGTCACCCATGTGGGAATAAGAATAACAACAGCTGTAGCATTCAGAACAGAAAAAAAAATCACAACTAGTATCCTACCAGCTTAGCAATGTCTCATTTTCCTATCTTTATTGATTCCTAAATTTTTGCCTGCGACTATCAGAGTGTGAGGGAAGCTCGCTTATCTAGCGATAACCGAGTGTCGTTGAATAAAAAATAGTAGTAAGAATAAAAATCCAGGCACCAGTGACTCATGCCCTCATCTTAGCTACTCAGGAGTATCTCAGTTCAAAGTCAGCTGGGGCAGACAAATCCCCAGGGAGACTCATTTCCAATTAACCACCAAAAAGCAGGAAGTGGAGCTGTGGCTCAAGTGGCAGAATACTGGTCTTGAGCAAAAAAGCTAAGGGATAGTGCCAGGCCCTGAGTTCAAGCCCCATGACACACTCCCTCCCCCCCCCCCCATTTAGTGGTGATGGTTGACTCATGGCTCTCCTGCTCTCTACGTTATTGCCCTGGTTCCCCAGCCTGTGAACAACCCCCACCCCGTTTGCCTGCTAGCTCTTGAAGTAGGTTGTTTTTCTAGCTCATGAGTAAATATTGACCTGTTTGGGTTTCAGATGCCTTCCCCTCAAAACTCTTGCTGAGCTGGATAACCACAGGAGGACATCTCTTGAGACTAAGAGTTGCTTTTGGATAGACTATAAAGCAAATGACCCCCTCATTATGTCCAGCACTGTATCCTGGGCCTCTGCCCTCCCCTGGGAGCTTGTGGGAGCTTGTGGTCTAGTTGGGGAGAAAAGATTCCAGCATTGGGGATGCTTCCATGCTGAGTTCAAGGCAGCTGCAAGGATCCTAAAGGAGAATTCTTGCGTGAGGAGGAGGTGGTCCTTTGTGAACTGCAAGATCCCTTCCAACACTGAAGTTTTCTGGTTTTAAGTGGAATTCAGTCAAGTGCCAAAATGTCTGCTGCAAACAATGGGCGATATGGGCTGGCAGGAAAGGGGGGTTGGCTGATACTCTGTGTGAGGAGGAGATAGAACAGGCATGGGTTGTGGAGGACTAGACTGGGGGGAGGGAGTTGCTGTGGTTTGCTAATCCCCCGGCATTCATCTGCCTGAAATGTCCCTGGACCTGCTCCTGGGCCTGCAGCTCATAACAGTGCCTGCTGCCCGAGGACTCTCAGTCACATGTAACCAGAGCGCAGGGTATTTCCCATTCATGATCCAGACTTTCCTTTCTATTCTCTCAATCTCCTCCAGCTTGGAACCCCTGTGCCTCCCTTCCTAGTTCTCTAAAATGAGCTGGATTTTTGATTAGTTGATGCCTAGGTTGGGAAAGTTAAGGCTAATGAACTGGACCTCATTGAAGATCATGACTGATTAGAAGGCTGGAGACCAGAGGCCAGAGACCAAGTGGAATGATGTGCAAATGGGTTGACCAGGAGGCAGTACTGGCTTGACCAGGCAGGGGCCGAAGGATGAGCCTCAAGGATGAGCCTAAGCTTCTCAGTTTGGAAGTGATTATGATGTGACCTGGTCCAAAACAGCTCTCTCTCTCTCTCTCTCCCTCTCCCTCTGTCTGTCTGTCTCTGTCTCTGTCTCTCTCTCTCCTCCCCACCTCTCTCTCTATCCCACTTGAGCCACAGCTCCAATTCTAGCTCTTTTTGGTGCTTAATTGAAGATAAGAGTCTCACAGCCTTTCTTGCTCAGGCTGGCAAGATCTCAGCCTCCTAAATAGCTAGGTTTATAGGCCTGAACCATCAGCACCCAGCTCAAAATTGCTTTCTTAACCTGATAGAGTGAAATGTCTTCCCTGTATGGCTTCCAGTTAAGTAGCACTGATCCCTGTTCTGGTTGCCCGCTTGGGCCAGAGTGAAGCTATAGGGAAGGAATGCAAATCTAGAACACATGAGCATAGTCAGTGTCTGCTTTGTGGGTTGTGGGAGGAGGGGGTCCTGGGAAGCCCCCATTGAATGGGGTCTTAAAGGAAGCTGAAATGCTGACAGTCATGCTGACAGATTCTGGTCTTGATGGGTGATGGGCAGAGCCTGTGAGACCTGAGTAGGTGAGCCCCCACCTATTCAAAAGGCCAACCTGGGGGCTGGGAAGGTGGCTCAGTGGTAGAGTGCTTGCCTTGCATGCATGAGGCTCTGGGTTCGATTCCTCAGCACCACATAAGCAAAAAAGAAAAAAGCCAGAAGTGGCGCTATGGCTCAAGTGGTAGAGCGCTAGCCTTGAGCTGAAGAGCTGAGGGACAGCGCCCAGGCCCAGAGTTCAGGCCCCATGACCAGACCTAAAACTAAATAAAAAAAAAACAAAAACAAAAGGTCAACCTGTTTGTGCACACACCATGCACTTCCATGAAGGATGCAATTCCTCATGTGTCATACCCATTGGTAGTGCAGGAAGAGAACTTTGGGTCTTAGGGACAAATGAAGGGTTGGGTGGGTTCTCATGCAGTCCTGACCTTAGGCTTGGTGCCCAGGCAGGGAAAGAGTTGGAGCGATGCCAACGGCAGGCGGATGAGGTGACGGAAATCATGCTCAACAACTTTGACAAGGTCCTGGAGCGTGATGGAAAGCTGGCAGAACTGGAGCAGCGTTCAGACCAACTCCTGGACATGGTGTGAGGCCCCAGGAAGCAGGAAAGGGAGGGGAAAGGAGGGAGGAGAGGGGAGGGAAGCTTGACACTCAAGCTGCACTCAGGGTTTCTAAATCCTTGATAGGGACTGAGGCTATTTTCAGCCTTCTAGCCTAGATATGCAATGAGCAGGCTTCACAAAGTAAGAAGTGCTTTTTTTTTTTTTAAGTTGTGAACCTTCCCAAAGATCAAGGATTTGGCCTTGTTAACTGGGAGTAAGCTGATAGGTCTGACAGTCAAGAGCTCTGTCAGTCTCTGAGATGGGGAGTCAGGCTGGGAGGATCCCAGGGAAGGTTGAGTAGAGGGAAAAGAGATAGGGTGGGGAAGATGCAGGAGAAGACCAGGCCTCCCTGGGATGTGGTGAAAGGAGCTGGCTCTGAGGCACTGGGGAACCTCTAACTCCTATCCTGTGTCTGGGGACTTCCACAGAGTTCAGCCTTCAGCAAGACAACCAAGTCCTTGGCCCAGAAGAAGCGCTGGGAGAACATCCGCTGCCGGATCTACTTGGGGCTGGTGGTGGCTGGTGGCCTGCTCATCCTCCTGATTGTGCTGCTGGCCATCTTTCTACCACAGAGCAGTGGGGACAGTACTCCCCCACAGGCCCAAGACGCAGGCACAGTCTCAGGAACTGGGGATTGACTCAGCTGGGCCTGATGAGAAACCAAATGTTCTGGTATCCCAAGAGCTCTGCCATTTGCTCCTGTCTGAGCCACCATGTGAGAGACAAAGGGCAGCCCTGATACATGCACCTCTGTGTCTTCCATCATGCCAGAGACTGGCCCTCAGGGCAGCCTGCTGCACTGGCCAGGCCAGGCCAGCCCCACTTGGAGCTCAGTAAAAGCTGCTGTTTGGTTAAAAGCGTGTGTGTGTGTGTGTGTGTGTGTGTGTGTGTGTGTGTGTGTGTGTGTGTGTGTGTGTGTGTGTGTGTGTGTGTGTGTGTGTGTGTGGAGTACTAGCTAATGCTAGTACTCCAGGCCTTATGATCCTCTCCCTTAGCTTTTCTTTTTTTGTGTGTGCTGGTCCTGGGGCTTGAACTCAGGGCCTGGGCACTGTCCCTGAGCTTTTATGCTCAAGTCTAGTGCTCTATCACTTGTGTTATAACCACACATCTAGTTTTTTTATGATTAATTGGAGATAAGAGTCTTACAGGCCTGGGAAGGTGGCTCAGTGGTAGAGTGCTTGCCTCGCATGCATGAGGCCCTGGGTTTGATTTCTCAGCACCACATAAGCAGAAAAGGCCGGCAGTGATGCTGTGGCTCAAGTGGTAGAGCGCTAGCTTTGAGCTGAAGAGCTGAGGGACAGCACCCAGGCCCAGAGTTCAGGCCTCACGACTGACCAAAAAAAAAAAAAAAAAAAAGAGCCGGGCGCTGGTGGCTCACGCCTGTAATCCTAGCTGCTCAGGAGGCTGAGATTTGAGGATCGCGGTTCAAAGCCAGCCCGGGCAGGAGAGACTGTGAGACTCCTATCTCCAATAAAAAACCATCAGAAAAAAACCGGAAGTGGCGCTGTAGCTCAAGTGGTAGAGCGCTCGCCTTGAGCTGAAGAGCTGAGGGACAGCGCCCAGGCCCAGAGTTCAAGCCCCACGGCCGACAAAAAAAAAAAAAAAAAGAGTCTTACAGACTTTCCTGCCCAGGCTGGCTTTGAACCACCATCCTCAGATCCTCAGATCTCAGCCTCCTGGGTAGCTAGGATTACAAGTGTAAGCCACAGATGCCTAGCTGCCCTTAGCTTTTTTGTTTCTTATGCTACCGAGTATAGAACCCAGAGCATTATACCTGCTGGGCAAGCACTTTGCCACTGAGCTACACCTTAGCCCTTAGCTTTTTTTTGGGGGGGGGGGGGATTTGGATAGTTGTGGGGCTTGAACTCAGAGCTTGGGCACTGTCTCTGAGCTCTTTCTCTCAAGGCTAGTGCTCCACCATTTTGAGTCACAGCTCCACTTCTGGTTTTCTAGTGATTAATTGGAGATAAAAACCTCATGGACTTTCCTGTCCAGGCTGGCTTTGAACTGCAATCCTTAGATCTCAGCCTTTTGAGCAGTAAGGATTATAGGTGTGAGCCACTATCACCCGACTTGCTCTTAGCTTTTTTGATCAAGGTTAGTGCTTCAACTTGAGCCATACCTCCACTTCTGGCTTTTTGCCGGTTAATTAGAGATAAGTGTCTCAAGGCTGGCTTCGAGCTGGGATCTTAGCCTCCTGAGTAGATATGATTACTAAAGTGAGATACCAGTGTCCAGCTTCATTTTTGACATCTTGCGGATGCTCAGAGGACCAGTGGGATTCTAGATGGAAAAAGAGAAAAGCACTTCAGAGATACTTTCATGAGGCTCTCATGTCAGATAGACCTTTGCCCCTTGATCACTCCCTACTTCACAATTTCTCAGCCTATACCAGTGTTATTCCTAAGACTCTAAATCCAGTTTCAGATGTAGCAAATGAAGTGAAAACCCAGAGCCTTTTATGCTGTTATACTGTGGAGTCACAAAGGAGTTTGTCTTGTAGGAAAGAATTCAGGGTTTTCCAGTGCTCCAGTATCTTTAGGGACACAGTAAGGATTATTGGGCAGGAACAGCAGAAGGAAAGAAGGCCCCACCAAGACTAAGGAAGCAGAGCAGCCTCTGCCTGGTTTAACTATAGTTCAAACTCAACTATGAATGGCAAGGGAAATTCAGAAGTTTTTTTTTTTTGTTGGCCGTGGGGCTTGAACTCTGGGCCTGGGCGCTGTCCCTCAGCTCTTCAGCTCAAGGCGAGCGCTCTACCACTTGAGCTACAGCGCCACTTCCGGTTTTCTGGTGGTTTATTGGAGATAGGAGTCTCATGGTCTCTCCTGCCCAGGCTGGCTTTGAACCATGATCCTCAGATCTCAGCCTCCTGAGTAGCTAGGATTACAGGCGTGAGCCACCAGCGCCCGGCGGAAATTCAGAAGTATATAAAATAAGAAACTCATTGTTCAATAGAATGAGGGCTACTCACAGAAACAAGACCAAACCCTGAGAAGTATATGGAGCTTTATTACAGATTTTGTTCCTTCTTTACCTTTTTTTGGGAGGTACTGGGATTTGAATGCAAGGCTTTCCAATTGCTAAGCAGACATTCTACCACTTGAACCACTCCACTAGTCTGTGTGTGTGTGTGTGTGTGTGTGTGTGTGTGTGTGTTGATCCTGGCTTGATCTCAAGGCCTGGGTATTATCCTTGAGCTTTTGTTGTTATTGTTGTTGTTTTGTTTTTGTCCAGTCCTGGGGCCTGAACTCTGGGCCTGGGTACTGTCCCTCAGCTCTTCAGCTCAAGGCTAGCACTCTACCACTTAAGCCACAGCGCCACTCCTGGCTTTTTTTTTCTGCTTCTGTGGTGCTGAGGAATCAAACCCAGGGCCTCAGGCATGCAAGGCAAGCGCTCTACCACTAAGCCACCTTTCCAGCCCGAGTTTGTTTTTTTTCCTCAAGGGTGACACTCTACCACTTGAGCCACAGCTCCACTTCTGACTTTTGGTGATTAATTGTTGATAAGAATCTTACAGACTTTCCTGCCTGGTCTGGGAATTGTGATCTTCAGATGTCAGTTTCCTGAGTAGCTAGGATTTCAGGTGTGAGCCACTGGCAGGTAGTTCCTCTTTGCTCTGGTTAATTTCAAGATAAAGTATGTCCCACATGGCCTAAATTATGATCTTCCTATTTGTGCTTCTATTTGTCTCTGGAATGACAGGCGTACACCACTGAATCTAGCCATTGTGCTTTGTCCCTTGATCCCTTGTGATGGAAGGTGTGGCATGGTGTGCATACAGCCAGTGGTTAGGATGGAGTCTCAATTTTTTTTTTTCTGCATATGCTGGCCTTGAAGCCCAATCCCCTGATCTCCTCATCCTAGCTAGTTAGGATTATAGGAATAAGCCATCATGCCTCCCACAAGAGCTTATTATATTCACTAGGCTTACTACTGTCCTCCTTTTGCAAAGATTTTATTTTATTTTTTATTTTTATTTATTTTTTTGCAAATATTTAAAAAAAATTAGCCTTGCTGTTTCAACAGCACCAACTATGCACAAGCCACTTCTTGTTTTTGTTTTGTTTTTTTGGCCAGTCATGGGGCCTGAACTCTGGGCCTGGGCACTGTCCCTCACCTTCTTCAGCTCAAGGCTAGTGCTCTACCACTCGAGTCATAGCACCACTTCTGGCTTTCTCTGCTTATGTGGTGCTGAAGAATCGAACCCAGGGCCTCATGCATGCAAGGCAAGCGCTCTACCATTAAGCCACTTTCCCAGCCCACAAGCTACTTCTTAAACTTGGGTTTTACACATGGAAAAAGGACAAGGTAAGGCGGTTGGCTATGGTGGCTCACACCTTAATCCTAGCTACTAAGAAAGCTGAGATCTGAGGATCATGGTTCAAAGCCAGTCCTGGCAGGAAAGTCCGTGAGACTCTTATCTTCAAATTAACCACCTAACTCAAGTGGTAGAGCACTTGCCTTGAGCTGAAGAGCTGAAGAGCTGAGGGACAGCGCCCAGGCCCAGAGTTCAAGCCGCACAACTGACAAAAAAAAAAAAAAAAGGACAAGGTAGCTGTGTGGCTGTGGCTCACACCTGTAATTCTAGCTACTCAGGAGGCTCAGAAGTGAGGATTGTGGGTTTTTTTTTTTCGTGGTGGCGGGGGGGGGGGGGGGGGGGGGGGGTCCGGTCATGGGGCCTGAAGTCTGGGCCTGGGAGCCGTCCCTCAGCTCTTCAGCTCAAGGCTAGCACTCTACCACTTGAGCCACAATGCCACTTCCGGCTTTTTTTTTCCTGCTTATGTGGTGTTGAGGAATCGAACCCAGGACCTCATGTATGCAAGGCAAGCGCTCTACCACTGAGCCACCTTCCCAGCCCAGGATTGTGGTTTAAGGAAAATGCCTGTGTTCCCATCACTCTTAGGAGGATGAGAAAGGAATTCAAGGCCAGATTGGTCTACATAGCAACACCCTGTCTCAAAAAAAGGAGGTAGGGAATAAAATAATGTCATTTGCAGGGAAATGGATGGAACTAGAACAAATCATGGTTTTTTAAAAATATTTTTTTATTGTGAAAATACTGTACAGAGGGGTTACAATTACATGGGCAAGATAATGAGTACATTTCTTATCAAGCATTGTAGCCTCCTCCTTTGTTTCCCCTTCCCATCCCTTCCCAGCTTCCCCCTCCCACCCCCCAGAACAAATCATGTTAAGTGAGGTGAGCCAAGCTCAGATAGACAAACTGTGCATATTCTCTCTGATATTCAGAAGTTATATCCAAAATGCACTGGAATATGACAAATTATACAGGAGTCTAGACACACACACATGGTAAGACCGAAAGAGGATACTCTTAGGAGAAAAACACAAAGACACAATGTCTAAGTGCCTCTTCATATTTATATAAAATAGTTTTTACAGAACTGCCAAGATATGGAAACAAAGGTTTTTTGTTTTCAGTTTTTTATGATTCTGTCTTTACCTTATGTATGGTGTTTTCCTGTGTATGGGAGGGAAGGCAGAGAACTCAAGGGAAAAAACGGGTGAAAAAGGGCAGCAGTGGAGCTCATTGGACACTGATAAGACTGAACTATGCAACTCATGGGTGGAGATGGGAGGAAGGGACTGGGAGAGAGTGAGGGAACAGGAGACACTGTATGAAAGGCAGTGTACTCATTACCTGACTCATGTAATTGTAGTCCCTCTATAATAACAATAAAGTAGCCAGGTGCCGGTGGCTCACGCCTGTAATCCTAGCTACTCAGGAGGAGGATCATGGTTCAAAGCCAGCCCAGGCAGGAAAGTCCGTGAGACTCTGATCTCAAACCACTCAGAAAACCGGAAGTGGTGCTGTGGCTCAAGTGGTAGAGAACTGGCCTTGAGCTAAAGAGCTGGGGGACAATGCCCAGGCCGAGTTCAAACCCCACAACCGACAAAAAAAATAAAATAAGTTAATTTTTAAAAGGCAGGGCTGGGAAGGTGGCTCAGTGGTACAGTGCTTGCCTTGCATACCTGAGGCCCTGGGTTCGATTCCTCAGCACCACATAAGCAAAAAGAAAAAAGCCGGAAGTGGCGCTGTGGCTCAAGTGGTAGAGCGCTAGCCTTGAGCTGAAGAGCTGAGGGACAGCTCCCAGGCCCCAGAGTTCAGGCCCCACGACTGGACCCAAAAATAAATAAATAAAAAGGCAGAAGCTGGGCACTAGTAGCTCATACCTGTAATCCGAGCTACAGAAGGTAGAGATCTGAGGACCGAAGTTCTAAACCAACCTGGGCAGGAAAATCCACGAAACTTATCTCTGATTAACCACCAAAAAAAAAAAAAGAAAAGAAAACAAACAAACAAAAAAAAAAAACTGGAAGTGGAGCTGTGGCCCAAGTAATAAGTACTAGTCCTGAGCAAAAAAAGCCCAGGGACAGTGCCCAAGCTCTGAGTTCAGGAGTGGCACAAAAAAAAAAAGGAGGTGGGCAAAAGAAAGGGTGGAGGTATAGCTCAATAGTGGAGCAAGTACTTACCATGAGTCTAAGGCCTTGGGTCCAAACCTCATAAACACACACATACACACGCACCCCAGTGTAATGATGCTTGGTTACCTTGAAGATTATTGACACTGCATGTAAAATATCCATCAATATCATTGAGTGTACATGTTTTCTACCCTATTTCACGTGGGAATCAATGCAGAGCACATGCCATTGCCACACCTCCCAGTACATCAGCTAAGTAACAAGCATGAGTGTTTTTCTTTTCCTTCCTTTTTTTTGCTAGTGAGTGTGTGTGTGAGACAGTATTGGGGCTTGAATTCAGTCTTGTGTTCTTGCTTGCTTTCTTGTATATAGCTGGTGTGCAATTCATTGGAGGTGGAATTTCTCAGACTTTTTCTGAGTTGGTTTCAAACCTTGATCCTTCAGGTTTCAGCCTTCTAAATAGCTAGGAAACAGGTGTGAGCCATTGGTTTCTGGCCTTTTGCTGTTTTTGCTTTCATAGACTACATTGACAAGGATTCCCTCCGATGAGATGGAGTTTCCTTGGCTGCCTTGGAACCAAGACCTCCCAATCTCAGCCTCCCATGTAGCTAAGATTACAGATGTGAGCCATCATACACGTGTTTCTTTCTTTTGGCAAGGTCTCACTATGTAGTCCAACTGGCTTTGCTCTTTCCATACTCTTGCCTCACCTGTCAAATCCTGAGATTACAGGCATATACCATATCTGCTATGAAGGTCTTCCTCCCCTCTACCTTCCCTCCCCACTCTCTTCCCTTCTTTCTATGATAGGAAAATTAGGAAAGGAGTACACTTTCAATACAATGAAAGCCTATCATCTCTAGGGAGAGAATGCCTATGATTTTCACTCAGGTACAAATTTGTATCAAAATGTTAGGCTTAGAGCTTTAAGTCCTTTTCCAACACTAACCCAAGGCTGCCAAGGGTGGGGGAGGTTTACTGAATTATATTGGACCTCTAGGCCACAGTTTATCGGCCCGAGTAGTTAAAAGATCTATTCTTCATGGATGTTATTTTCTACAGCTACCCACTTGTCTCCTCAGGGAATGCAGTGTACCCGGGATGCAAACCACTTATTTAGCTCTAGCCACTAGTTTTACAGAAGCTGGGGATACGGTGGAGCAATGGACTGAAGTTCATGTACATAGTCCTATGCACAGGTGAGGCCTCAGTTGGGTTACAGAGACCTACCTCTCTTGAAAAGGTTTGCCACCTTCGTTATTTTGCCTAATACATAAGAAACGTTCAGGACCCCTTTCCTCCCAATCTCCACACCTTCCCCAGGAATCAAGGAGTAAACTCCAGAGCCAGATGTCGGTTGTTTCTTTTCTTTTTCTTTCTTCTCATTGGCTAGCACTCTACCAACTGGGCCAGGCCTTCAATCCAGAACCAACTAGTGGGCAGCAGAGTGGAGATCACGGCTGAGCCGCGGGAAGCACCAGATAGCTGGCCACAGTAAAAGGCTGATTCCCTGGGCCAGAGTCTCCCAGTCCAGCACTTGCGTCGCCGAGGCGCTCCACGCCTCAGGGTACACGGAGGGCTCTTACTGCCCCCACGCTAGAATTTTCTGGGCATCGACGACGCGACCGCGACAGAAATTCCCCGGGAACTCATTCTTCCTCAGACCCCATTGGCCTTAGCCCTCGATCACCTGACCTACCCAGCCAGGGAGAGGTGGCCGATCAACACTTCCGCTTTGCGAATCTGTGAGCGAGCCGCTAGCCCGCCCCTCCGGCACTTTGATTGGTCGTCCCCTCTCAATCCGCTATCTTATTGGTCAGTTCCGCAGGGTTGCAATTCAGCCGGTTCCGAGGGCTGTGTCAGACTGCTTCGTAGCCATGGCGTCCTATTTTGATGAACATGATTGCGAGCCGGTCGACCCTCGGCCGGAGACTCGAACCAACATGTTGTTGGAGCTGGCAAGGTGGGCGCGCAGGGCTCGGGGCTGCGTTCCACACGTCAGGTTCCTAGGTTGAGGCTGGCGGGAAATGGCGGATGGACTAGGGCTGCAGTGTCTAGGAAGGGTTTGTTAGTCCCAGCAACGAGTTCGTGGGGATCCGTGGGTACGGATAATTGGGGCCCTGTGTAGGCAGGGCTAGACAAAGGGGGCTGTGAGAAAGACTGAGTAGGGGAGTGTTAAGAGTGGGGATGAGGGCAGCAGGCCATGGGAGCATCCCAGAAGGTAGGTGGGAAGGGGGTGGCAGGTAGGGGCTGTGTCCCTTTGCGTCAGTTTGCTACGAACAGCACACAGAAGCCCACGGTCGACTTCCAATCTTTACTAAGTCACTTCCGCGTGGCTTTCCCAAAGTCTATTGGCTTATTTGTAAATTGGGAATCAACAGGTTACATATTAGGGCTGTCTGGTAGCAGCTGGAAACCACTTTCCACCCAGCTTTCCATCTATAAGCGTTAATCTTTAGTATTACTGTGGGTACTTACTGGTTAATGCGGGGTAGATCACAGGGCCAAGAGAAAGAAACTGATTTCCTTGGTTCTGATTTATCATCCTCCTTTCTCAGGTCACTTTTCAATAGGATGGACTTTGGAGATTTGGGATTGGTGGTAGATTGGGACCATCACTTACCTCCACCAGCTGCCAAGGCTGTGGTGGAGAACCTCCCTAGGACAATCATCAACAGCTCCCAGGCTGGTGAGGACACTTTTTAATTCACTCTCTGTGGGGGCAGGTGTGCTGGACTTGCCTCCTCCCTTAAACCACACCTACTGTGGTTAGGAGTGGGAGCTGGGGGTGGGGCCTTCTGCAACTCTCCTGATCACACTTCTCCTCAAGAAGAGCTCAAGTGCCCGGTGTGTCTTTTGGAATTTGAGGAGGAGGAGACTGTTGTTGAGATGCCTTGCCATCACCTCTTCCATTCCAGCTGCATTCTTCCCTGGCTAAGCAAGGTACCATTTCCTTCTTCTGGCTCTCACCCTGCCCTAGACTGGGTTCTCAACCTTCTTTCTGGTTATGAACTGTTGGGGAATGAAGGAAGAGCAGGGAGGGTTATTGGTTTAGGAAGACCTGGGCTGGTACACAGCATTACTTTTTCCAGACAAATTCCTGTCCACTGTGCCGCCATGAGCTACCTACTGATGATGACTCTTATGAGGAGCACAGACGAGATAAGGTAGGGGCTGGTGTTTGAGGGGAGGGGGTCATATGGGCCCCCTCACACCCTATCCCCACTGTATGCATTCCCTTCCCTTAGCAGACTTGGGTAGGCTCCAGACTCCCTGGCTTTGGTCACTTTTCTAGTGATTTAGGTGGGGGTGGATATCAGCAGATACTAGGCCCTAAAACCTGTGACAATCAACCTCATGACAGCTGCCCTATGTCCTTACCCTTGGGACTTTAGGCTTGGCCTTGCTCAGTGTTCTCTTTCTTCTAGGCTCGAAAGCAGCAGCAGCAGCACCGACTAGAGAACCTCCATGGGGCCATGTATACATGAGACAGCTAGGACTGAGCACTTGCCCTCTAAACAACTTCCTCCTGCACTTTGAATTCTCATTAAAGGTTTCTTTATCCACCCAGCAGTTGCATTGCTCACAGGCCTGCAGAGGGGCTCTAAATCTACCACCAGGTCCCTCCTGCTAATGGGGAGGTTGGTATAAAACTGTAAGAGAGGGCTGGGGATGTGGCTTAGTGGTAGAGTGTTTGCCTAGCATGTATAAAGCCTTGGGTTCCATTCCTCAGTACCAGATAATCAGAAAAAGCCAGAAGTGGCACTGTGCCTCAAGTGGTAGAGTGCTAGCTTTCAGCAAAAGAAGCTCAGGGTCAGTGACCAGGTCATGAGTTCAAGCCCCAGGACAGGCAAAACCAATCCAAACCAAAAAACCCCCCAAACACCCATAAAAACCCCACAAAACCCTATAAGGATACTAGGCTCAGGGTTGGAGGTGTAGCTCTGTTGGTAGAGTACTAGCCAATGAACAAAAAGCATCAGGTACCCAGTTAGTCCCAATCTTGGACAGAGAGAGAGAGAGGGAGAGAAAGAGGGGGAGAGAGAGAGGGAGAGAGAGGAGGAGAGAGGGAGAGAGAGATACACACACTCACACAGAGACAGAGACAGAGACACAGAGAGAGACAGTAGGCTGCATTTCCCTCTGTAATAATCTGTTTGGACTCTGGGCGGTGGGGCTCAAGTAAATAACTAGTCTACTAGACCAGTCAGGGCTTGAGCCTGTGTTCATGATTGGAAGGCAAACTGTGTCAGAGCCTAACATCCTATAGCTATTTATTTGCAACCCTTCTGCTCTCCCCACCCCCACAAGCAATTTCTAGTTAACCTTGGAACCTTTAGTTAACCTTGGGATTCTGAGAGTTTTCATTGGCTTCACAGAGAATTGCTTCTAACATTTCAAAGTTGTTCTCTGTACCTAACCCCTGCTACTAAGGAATCAAAGTTCAATCCAGACTTTGAGTAGAGGAAGGAAGTGAGATTATCAGGTCAGGACAGGTCTTTAGACTGCTTAGCGTTTAAGCCCGTGTGGAATATTTGGATGGCACCTGGCATCCTTTGTTCCTGGAAGCGCTGCTCTTAAAAAGCAGGTGACACTCAGGGCTCTCCCTGAAAGCAGAGGCTTCCTCTCATTCCTTGCTTAGAAAAAGTTGTTTTTGGGCAAGCCCTTCCTGAGTATCTAGAACAGACTACAAACATGCAAATTAGAATTCTTTTAATAGATATAAAAAAGTACTAAAATACCCACGTGTTCTGTTGTGTTATTTGCCCTAAAGGAAGTGAGGGGCAGAGTGAAGAATCCCAGTGCAGCTCAATTGGGCCTTTTCCTAGGCTAAGGCATGCTTCCCCCACTACCCAGACTTGTATTTCCCCCTGGGGTTCCCAGCCCCCAACTCCTGCAGCACGAAACCCCAGTGGTCTGGCTCTGGCACTGGGAGTAGAAGGCACCTGAGGGGCTGGCTGGGCAAGTAAGGGCAGGTGACCTTTAAGCACAATACTGTAGTGTCAGGGAGCAGGATGTGCAGCCCAGGCAGCGGGCAGGGTCTGCTCCTCTTATGGCACAGGTGGTGGGATGGCCACTTCTCCAAGAGTGAGGAAGCCCAAATCCCAACATAATACTTTCTGAAAAGTTGTTTTTGGTACAAAATAAATGCAAAGAAGATAAAGGGTTGGCTGCTGCGGAGGCCGGGCCAGCCACCCCCCAGACCTCAGATCATGGCGATGCTCTCTGGGGCACAGTTGAGGTGTGTGGAGGTGCTGCTGCTTCCGGAGGACTTGCAGGCTCGGCCAGAGGCTGGCTGCAATGCAGCCACCAGTGTGTCTGAGGAGACGGCCCCAAACTCATAGCTGAAGGTGCCATAGAAAATGAGGATATCAATGACGAACACCCATTCGCACAGGGCTGCCCCGTGCTGTAGCTGAGAACTTTCATGGACAAAGAAGACACCGCCTGGAGTGGGGCTAAGGAAACATTTTGATGTGTGAGAACCTGGTAAAAACCACTCTGTAGTCCCAGACATTTAACCAGGCTGGGGCGAAGGATCAGACCTCCCCATAGGAAGAAGACCACATGGTCAGTGTTTACTGCAATCTGGCTTCCACCCTCCCATTTGGGGTGGGAGAAGGGCTGAGCTAAAGAATGAGTTCCTGGTTTCCCTGTCCCAGAAGGATACTAAGGACCAGAGTGATGAAGGCGATGACAGCCAGCACAATTCGAAGGTAGGCCATTGCCAGGTCCAGGGGGGTAGTGGCCCCATGGTAGGAGAGAGCACAGTGCAGGCAGACAAAGAGCAGCCCTGCCGGGAAAGCCACTCCAGCTCCAATGTAGTGCAGAGACTTGGCGTAGTCCACCTGGCCCAGACAGAGGGGCTAGTCTGTGAAGTGGTTCCATTCATCCATCCCTCCCATCTTCTTTCTCTCTGTCTCCTCCTTTGCCTCCCAGTTCCTCCTTCCTAGACCCCCAACCTCTAGGTGGTTCCCCTTCAGGCAGCTAGGCCCTACTAAAGGAAGTTCAAGGGGGTGGTTGGGAAGGCGAGGGGCACCTGAAAGTTGCCGACCACCACAAGGCCTGCAGCATTGGTACAGCCTGTGATGAGCGCTGTAGTGTTAACCCAGGAGTGCCGGCTCTGCTCCAGGAGCTGCCCATACCGAAGGAGGCAGATCAGGGCCACTGAGGAAGGAGAGCACACTGGGGTCAGTCCTGGACCTTCCTCCAAACTCTTCTGCCCAACTCACCCCAGTTCAGCCTCCCAGCTTCCTGCAGGCTCTCCTAACTCCTCTGAGGACCAGAAGAGGAAGGGACAAATAGGTGTTAACTTGGGTTTCCTCAAGGCTTAATGCTGGCTCTGTGGGAGTTAGCATCTGGCCTTCAAGGAAGGGGTTGAGAAGTTGCCCTTCATGTGTTAAGTCTCCAGTGCAGAAGGGTTTGGGGGAACAAGAGCTTCTGGGCTTTTTATGGGGAGGTGGTAGAACCAGGGGATGGGCTGGCCTGTGAGAAGGGATGAAAGTATAACTCACCCATGAAAGCACCCAGGTTTCCAATGAGGCTAAAGAGGCAGCTCTCAGGGGGATACGTGCCGCACTTGCTGAGGGGAGGGGTGAGGACAGAGTGAGAGGCAGGAGGATCAGTGGGCCCCATTCTGACTCCTGCTCAATCTGTGCTTTTCCTCAGCAGGCAAGCCACTAATTTATGAGACGGGACAGGGTCCTTTGTGAACAACTGGCTCCAGACTGAGCCACCCAGAACCTCAACAGAGCTCGTGTGGAACAGATAAGAAAGCAGCTGTTGGGTTGGGAAGGTAGCTCAGTGGTAGAGCGCTTGTCTTGCATGCATGAGGCCCTGGGTTCAATTCCTCAGCACCACATAAGCAAAAAGAAGCCAGAAGTGGCACTGTGGCTCAAGTGGTAGAGCGCTAGCCTTGAGCTGAAGAGCTGAGGGACAGCGCCCAGACCCACAGTTCAGGCCCCACGACCGGACCAAAAAAAATAAAAGAAGCTGTCCTGGAAAGCTTCCGAGACCTGAGAGTCTTTACTCAAGTTTGCAGCTGGTCTGATTTCTTTGAACTAGAACCTGGGTTGGACAATCAGAGAGCCTGAGCTTGATTGAGATTGATCCAGGTGTTTTCACTTACTAGCTGTGGATGACTAACTCTGAGCCTCAGTTTCTTCATGCATAAAATGGTGGTAACAAAAGCAGCTTCCCTGCTGGGAGAAGTAAAAGACACTACACAAGCCTGGCAATGGTTGCTCAGGAGGCTGAGATCTGAGGATCACAGAAGCCAGCAGGCATAGGAAAGTCCATGAGATTCCTCAAACCACCAAAAAGCTGGAAGTTGGACTGTGGCTCAAGTGGTAGAGCACTAGCTCTGAGCACAAAAGCTCAGGGACAGCTCCCAGGCCCTGAGTTCAAGCGTGCACACACACACACACACACATACACACACACACTACATAAAGCTCTCAGCACAGTGCTCAGTTCCTAGTAACTGGTAAATAGTATTGTCAGTAAGTGTATAATAATTATTCTCAAGACCTAAGGAACTATCCTTTTTTTCTCAGAACTCTAGGAAGACTGGGCTGGGGAGGGGTTAAGAGAAGGTGTTGGGGGGGGGGGAATCTCCCCAACCTACCCAGTTTCTAAGACCTACCTGATTAGGGGGACATCATCCAGGGTGCAACAGGTTTTAGGACCCCCTTGCTCAGCAGGGTCAGGAGAGCAGGATTCATTGTAGGACCTGGCAGGCAGGACACAGAGTAGACTAGGGGCAACGGATGCTCCCAGGCCTTAAAGAGGACCCTCTCCCAGACCTCCCCAGCAAGGCATAAGAGCCCACTCCCCAGGGCCTGCCTGAAACAGAAGACAAACGGGTGACAGCATGATAGGAAGAGGGTAGATGGGCAGGAAGCCATGCCTGGGAACCAGTGTCAGAGAACAGCAGTGAGGCCCAGAGCTTCATCTGGCTTGTGGCAGCTGAGGGCCCCAGAGGGGATAGAGATGAAGGGAGCTTTAGACAGGCTATGTGCAGAGTGCTCCATACCAGTTCTCCACAGGGCACACGTGGCGGTTCATCACGGCCATGGCATACCTGCAGGAGCACAACTGTCACCCTGCCTCCATGTCCCTCCTGGGCCAGCACTCCCTACTGACTCTACCTGAATTTCTGGCCTCATTCAGTCTCATTATTCTTGTTGGGGACTCAAGTTTGGGGCAGGGGAGGGTCAGTTGTGATGCCACAGAATGCAGCAGCCCCAACCTAGAGGCTCTCTTGTAAGAAGCCCTGGTTAGAAATATGTCTGTCAGGACAGTCCTACTGAACAGCAGTGGTGCCAGCTTGTCCTAAGGGGCTGTGTGCCCAGGCATCAGGCCAGGCTTTGGAGACAGCCAGAGTGACCATGGGTACCACCCTGGAGCCTACAACAGGACAAGGGGCTTTGTGTGTGCCATCAAGCGCCTGTTGGCCCTCCCACCTTCACCCATTTTACTCACACGGTCCATATGCCAGTGATGGAGAATGCTGACAGGCTGACAGGCAGGAGGATCCAGGCGGTCATGAGGGAGGGGAGCCAGGGTGGTGGTGTAGGGGGAGGACAACAGGTAGGTGGAAAAGAGGGGGCCGGCCCAGCTACCTTGAGAGTTTTTTTGCCACCACCATCAGCTGCTCTGGCCTGGTAGGGAGAGATCAAGGTCCAGGGTCTGGTAACTGACCAAGGCAGGGGGAGGGGACGATGATTAGCTCCTCATCCAGACCTCCCCTTATGTTTGTGAATGTCCAAACTTTGGAGTGAGCCCACGCTAGAACGTGGACACCCTCTGGCATCCATCTGGGGCCTCCGCGGTCACCAAAGGCCACCGGTGCTGGGAGACTCAAGCAGGGCTATAACATCTGGAAAGGGAGCCACCCTCCCTTTGCCCAAGGAAGGTTGGACCAGGACAATTAAGGTGTCCACGCCAAGGAAAGCCTGGGAGGATGACTGGCAGCCAGGCGCTAGTGTGCGGGCAACCACCTGACCACGAGCCCCGGCCAAGGGGCGGGTTCTGGTGGGAAACCCGACCTGGCCCTCGCTTGCGTGGGCTCGGGGACCCTGGCCTGGGCAGGAGCCCGCAGCTGGTGACACCACCCTCCTCCCCCGGGACCGAGGCCCCAGGCCTCCCCAGGTGATCCCGGGAACCCGGGAAAAGGAAGCAGCCCGTACGCACCTCCCCAGAGCGCCCAGCCGCCGCCGCCGCGCCCTGCTCGGACCCCTCGTGGCGCGGTCTCCGGCTGCGGCCCTCGGAGCAGCCCTGAAAGGTTTAAAGGGCCGAGCGGCCCCGCCTCCGGCGCCCCTGGCCGCGCCGCGCCGCCCGCCGGGACGTGGAGTCCGCGGAGCCCCAGCCCCCGTGTCCAAGCCCCGCCCGAGACTACAACTCCCGAGCCCCCGCGCCCGCGTCACCGAGGCGAGGTGGGCGGTGCTCCAGCTTCGGGGACCCGGGCGCTGAGGACTGCGGCCTGGGGACCTCTGACACCGAGACCCAGAGAAGCTGTCCCGAGGACTGTTCCCGCTCCACTGAGCCGGAGGACGAGAGCCTCATCTGCCTCGGCGCCCATCGCCGCCAGGACCAGCCGCCCGAGCCTTCCGGGAAGCCCCCAAGTGTGGAGCGCTGCGCCCGCCTCTGTCCGAGCGAGAGGCAAGTCTGCGGAGAAGCAAGCATACAATGTCCTGGCTGATTCTAAAAACAAAATAAAGTAAATCCAAGCACGCCGGATTCGGCTTACGCTCCCGCCCCCCGGGGCTCAGCAAACCCGAGGGCTGCTTTCACCATACTTTTATTTTTATATACAAGAACACAGAGTACTGGCCAGAAGTCACCGTGTCCAAGAAGTGACGGATCAACACTTGACATACGGCTGCAGAGGCCACAGCGTCATTCTAAAACACTTGCTGGCGCAGGTGTGGTAAGCAGAAGGGAAGGCCAGAGACCCAGAGGAATCTGGGAAAAAGCAGGCAGGATTGTTTGGGGGGAATAAGTATTTATTAGTTTCATCAAGATTCATAGTCGAAGAGTTATACACCTAAACATTCTTCTCACCGTTGAAAGGGCAGGAAAACTTCCTTTCACATACTAAATATGTATCTGGCTCAGCCCAATATGTATTGGCTATTATCCCCTGGCAGATGATTTTTCCCTAGGATAGTTCCAGGGAATTAGGACCGTGAGATGGCCACAATGGTGGGGCAAACACTATGTGCAGAAATGGCCCTGGACTGTAGACAAATAGAGCAAAAGCAGCTGTGTAATGGAGAAACCTCTTCCAAGGGGCAGACAGTAAAATAGAACAGGAAACCTGTTGGAGAGCTCTTTCCCACTAATTAGTAGTTATGTAGGGCCAAGAAATATGGCAATACAGTGATCACTGTACAAGAATACTGGACTAAATGGACCAGGGCATAAAATCCAGACTATCTGCTCACCCTAGGGACAAAGGTGCTCTTTTCCTTTTTTTTTTTTGTTCTGGGGCTTGAACTCAGGGCCTGGGCACTAACTGAGCTTCTTTGCTCAAGGATAGCTCTCTACCACTTAAGCCACAGCACCATTTCCAGCTTTTTTTTATTATGTGGCACATAATTAGGCGTGCTAGGTAAGCACTGTACCACTAAGCCACATTCCCAGACCCATGGTGCTAAGTCACACAGAGTTTTTCAACTTTCTGTCAAGCTGCATTCCCACCTAAGCAGGTACTTTTTTCTTATCTGCCCACTGGACTGTGAACCCTGCAGATTTTTTAAAATCTTTTTTTTTTTTAAAAGCAGACTAGCCCAGACCAATCTTGAACTTAATGTTCCTGCCTCCACCTCCGGAGTGCCTGGCTAGCTTTATGATTTTAAATCAACTATATTCTGCTGGATTTGTATCATGTCTGATTATCAGGGGAATTACAAAAGGATTTCTCATGTAGGTTCAAGTGGCTATTCTAATATGGTGTGGGATTGAAGCTAAGCCATTTGTATCCAAGAACTGACACTGGAAGCACTTTTAGTTTTTTTTTTTTTTTGGGTCCGGTCGTGGGGCCTGAACTCTGGGCCTGGGCGCTGTCCCTCAGCTCTTTGGCTCAAGGCTAGCGCTCTACCACTTGAGCCACAGCACCACTTCCGGCTTTTTTCTTTTTGCTTGTGTGGTGCTGAGGAATTGAACCCAGGGCCTCTGGCATGCAAGGCAAGCGCTCTACCGCTGAGCCACCTTCCCAGCCCTGCACTTTTAGTTTTAAAACAACAATCCAAATAGCTACTAAAATAGAATTACTCCAAAACAGAGATTCCTATGACAGAACTCTTTATGGGTACTTAATGGGAGGAGCCACAGATAAGTAGGTACATGTATCTTTAAAAATTCCCTTCCAGGCTGGGTACCTGTGGCACAGGCCTATAATCCTAGCTACTCAGGAGAATGAGATATGAGGATTGCAGTTTGAAGCCAGCCCACGCAGAAAAGTCCGTGAGATTCTTACCTCCTTAAAGTGGAGCTGTGGCTCAAATGGTAGAGCACTAACCCGAGCCAAAGAGCTCAGGGACAGCACCCAAGCACCTAGTTCAAGCCTCAGAACCAGCACAAACACCAAATTCCATTCTAATTCTAATTCTAAGTGACTCTAGCTGTTATGTTCCAACCAGGACAGCTCTTAAAATAGTTGAGCACAGCAAGAGATGAGATTTCCAGTGCTGATTCTGTTGTGGAAAGACTTTAGGTCAAACATTTAATCTCTACTTCTCCGTGTACACAAATGATTTCACAACTCTTGACAAAAACAGGGCTGTAAAAAGCGTTTATTGATTTAAAAAATATTGTACTCAAAAAGTAACTTCCTCCTATGATTTTCAAATACTTTGCACACTTCATTTTATTCGTCCACACATACAAACATTGGAAATGAGAATAAAGAACATATGGCTCTTATACATTTAGCACCATGGCACAGCCAGTGCACCCAGCCTCTTGTTCTGTTGGTTCTGGGGAAGGCATTTACTAGCACCTTCACTCCAAATCCTAGGGAAATATGGCTTCTTCACCATGTGATTCAAGGACAGGGCAAGCATTCAGAGGAGTTAAAGGTTTCAAACTGAATTTAAGGTGATTTTCCTAGCAGTCTCAGTGGTAGTCATGTGGCCTTATTCTTCTTTCTACACGCACAGCCCTCATTTACATTTGTTACCACCTGGGAACACCTATCACTGCCACACATGGATCCTGCCAAATGTACAACAGGATATTCACCACCCCATAGAGCTTCCTGCTACCTGCCTGGGCTAATGTCTAATTGGTGTGCTCCTCAGACAACCAGGGAGATAGGCTGACCCTTCCACTGGGCTGGACTGCAGAGACTCCCACTCTCAGTACTTACGATTTTATAGTCTCTCCTTCAAAGACCTCCAGGCATCCCAGCTGTCTACAACTCAAGGTTTAGGGTTTACTCTTGCATAGGCCTCTGAAAACTAGCTTCCTTTTATCAGTAATATAAGCCATTGTGGCCCAGGAAATACAAAGCCTTAAAATCTAGGCTCAGACTTCAGTCATCAAATACTTCATCATTATGGACTTGCAATTTGCCTTTCTTTTCGTTGTATGTGTGTGTGTTTTAAAATAGCCAGAAACATAGCTGGTCAAATAAGTGTTGTTTCTGAAGCCACCTGCTTAGAAGTTCCACCTGGTCCAACATGGCTCCTACCTCACCACCCAGCACAGGGCAGTCTTCTTGGGGTCATCTGGGGAACTGTAAAAACTGCTCTGGACATGTTCCTTGATGGAAAAGCACTGCTTTTTTAAATAGGTGACAGATGTCTGGTGGCCGGTCTGGCAAGCTGCAAAGTACCATCTTGGACCTCAGATGAGGAGTGGCGTAAGCAATGAGGCTGAGCTGAAAGGCGAGAGGCATTTCAGGCACATCTGGAGACAGAGCATCAGCTCCAACACGCCTACCTTTAGCATAAGGACAACTGCTTTATTTACAGATATTACATAAATTAGCTAAGAACCAAAGAAGTGCTTTCTTGGGCAGAAAATATTTTATAGACACAATAAAGTGCCTCAAGAAAAAAATTGTTTTAATAATAAAGATTTTTCCATTAGTTTCCTACCTGAGGTCTTAATTGTGTGAGCAAACACATAAAAGGACACAACAGGTTCATACTAATTGCTGCCTTTAACCTCTTCTTTTCCTGAGAAACAGGAATGAAGGCTAAAATTTTAGGTGTCCTCCAATGCTTTGGGTTTTTTTTTTTCCCAATACTAGGAAATTTGTGATATAGCTTTAAGAAGAGAGACCTCAAAAAGTATTTCCAGCCTGAGAAGCCTAAGAGGGAAATCCTACATTTTAAGTTATAAAATCAGCTGAAGAGCTAGAGAATTAAAGTGACTGGTCCTCTGACCTGCAGGAAGAGGGGGGTGGAGTTGGCAGGGCCTCCTTGACTCAAGAGGATAGTTTACACTGTAAGTCCAAAGGCACTTCTTGCATAGTTACATAAGTAGAGGGCAAAGACTTTCTCCTTGACAGCAGAATGGAGTCCACGACTAACAAGTATAAGGCACTTAACCCTGGGCCAGTGCTGTGGTTCTGGTGCACTTCTGGTTCCTGGCTTCATTACCAGGTCCTTTTAAAAACTTACCACCTCACTGGCCACCCTAGCATTCTTCCAGCAAAATCCAACAGTGTTTAATGTTTTAATAGCCTAGTTGAAGTAGCTGCCTTGACCCATTTTGTGTCTGTGTGTGTCAGGGATGCAAGACATGAACCAATAAAACTCTAAGGTGCTTTTTATGAGAAAACTTGCTGAGATAAAGCAGCCAGACTGATCTTGAGACCCTAATGCAGAGAAGCCCTTGAAGCAGAGACCTTAGGGGTTTAGTAAGTCTTAGTGTTCAGAGGCTTAAGAGCCCACATTTCCAGTCATTAAAGTCAAGACTATCTCTGGTGCACAGG